ACTGGTACCATGGTGCTACCATTCCCATGGCCCTACTATCCGTCACCTAGTATCTATGTCCCTTTCTTCGTGATTGATAGATCTGCCTATGCAGCACTCCTTCAAGTCCACTTTTATTTTAATCGACACTTGGTTTTTTTGGGTAGCTGAGTCCCTTTGGACTTGTTGTCGCTTCCTCACCCTTTTTGACCACTTGCTTCAACACCTCTGTGTTCTCCGAGCACTTTCCCTTGGTTAATGGAAAAACATACTGTAACTCCCATGCATGGCCTTCGCCATCAAGTTACAAGGCTCCTGTCGATTTTGTTCTCCTTAGCTTCCTTGGTAGTAACGTTCGCTTACTCGGTTTTGTCCTTTAACTTGTCGGGCTCTCTTAAGTAAATATGAGCTTTTGAGCAATCCAACTCTCCAACTACTCCGATTATACCTCTATATGATTAAGTCCTCCCCATGAGACTCACTGGTACTTGCACTCGAAATTCTCTCTCGGTGGTATATAGCCCCCATATAATGATGACCAAGGCTTTCATTCGATGCAAAATTTGATGCACGCACGGATGACCTGCCCATGTAGTACCATGACATTCAATCCTTAAATCCAAAACTCTTCTTGCTGTCGTGTTGTTCATCGAAGTAGAGCTCCCAATAGCTCCTGATCATACCTCTGCATGATCAAGTCCCTTGCGGGACTTCTCCCGCGTGTGTCGTATTGCCTCGAATTGTTCCACCATGATCCGCTACACTATGTCGCCTCCAGACGACTCTCCATTGTATTCTAATCGTTGTGGGATGAACTTGGACTGCGATCTCTCCATATGGCCTCTTTACCAGCACATCGTAGAGCCTCTGCCATCGCCAATTGTGTTTGCTCTTTTGGTAATTGGCCTTTGTCTATTCGCTTTTAGGTCATATACCCAAACGAAGCACAACTCTATGATAGTCCATCGCCTAGTCGCTCCCAAAGTCCACCGACTTCGCTGAAGTTGGTCGCTATTGTTTGAATCCTGAGCCTCTACCCCTCACCACAATCACCGTTGCGCACCTCTTCCTTCACAGCAACTCGAATGAAAGCACTATGACATTTTCTTCAATAGTACCCGCCTTTGCGTCCTCTTATCCCATGCAAAGGTCTTCTGACCCCAACTTCACATTCGCAAGTTGCGTCATCTTAGTTCCTCTATCAATTGCCTTTTTTTTTCAAGATAAAGTGCATGTGCCTCGAAGCTCCCTCCGACTTTGGCACCGTGCAGGTTGAGTCCGTGCCATCAAAATGAGGGACCCATGAAATGACATGATCTCATTCTTGCCTTTATAAGAGTTCATGTCCTTGATCTCTGTCCAAGGAAAGCTTCGTGCTTCTGCTCTATGTTCCGTCTTCTACGTCGACTCCCTTTATGCGGCTTAGGCACTTCACCAAGTTCCACCCAAGTTACTCCACCTTGCTGAACAAACTATGCATTGTTCTACCCTCGCAAACGCATTTGCTAGATTGCGACTCTTTGCCAATACAACCCTCGTTGCACCCCTTAAGGCCTAGCGACATGTTGAACTTGCTGCACACTTCAACTTCTTACGAATGTATCATTCTCATGCCGAGGAGAAAGTTTCAATACTCCATGGCACTGAGTTTCGGTCACCTTGGGATGGTCGTAGATAATTCATCGTCCGCATACAAGCCCTTGCATGAGTACCGAATTCTTCGAGTTAGCAATTCCCCTCACCTCTATGAGCTTTGCATAACTCTTTCACTCATTGAGCAACTCATCTCATATTGCACGATCTCATCCTTTGCCAAGCACCCCGCTTGCCTTTGAGCACCGTCAAGTTTGGTTGCCAACGTCGAGCCGTAGCTCAATCTCAGTCACCCCAACCTTTGTGCGCTATGCGTTCTTCCCAGCTTGCTTGTCTTCGTGGTGCCTCTTGCACAAAGGGTTGGTCATTCCTTTGAAAGCTAATCTCAGATGCCCGCTCCTCTGAGCGACTCTTTTCCCTATACCTTAACACTTGTTTTCCCCAAACGGTTGCACGTGTTGGTTGGCCTCAACGTAGCCTCGCTAGGTCCTCGATGCTTGCATGTCAAGTGTTTCTAAGTGTGCTTGCCCCGCTCTAATGCCATCTGTCACGGACTAAGCTAGTTTTGCCTAAGTTATGCAACACCTTTGTGTGTTCGTACGCAAAGGGTTGGCCTCCCGGAAACCTCTTATGTTCCTTTAAGGATCTACAAAAGAAAAGACGGGTTAAAAAAAACTTTTAACTCAGGATCCATAAGTAGCCATTTCAGCAAACACTTTATAAGCAGTGTAAATTATAAACTTGGACTTCGCAAGCTCTAAACGATCGCACGACAAAAGGTTGAAGACGGTCCGTCACAGATCAAAGTCTCTGCTATTGCCCACATGACACTGTTGTGGAACAACGCAGCAAACTAGCCCTAGACAATATCCCAAAGACCCTTCCAGTCATGTGCTACCCTGGTAGCTCCTATGTGTTGTATTGGTTGACACTCAGCATCACTCTGCGGAGCTAGAAAACCCCCAAAATAGTTGCCTGGATGGTCTGTTTCTAGGAAGTTTTGCCTCTGTATGATGACTGCACACAACCTGCGTTTACAAGCCTGAAACGACCATAAAAGCCAACCAAACTGGGGCTGCCAAGCCTATTACAAATCCTCTACATGCTACGCAAAGCATGTATGAACAAAACTGAAAGATACAGACATACATGAGCATTACATCAGACACCATGTTTACAGTTTTGTCCGTGATAATACAGTTTTTGTTGTAAGTCCTCTTGTATTGCAAAGATCTGCTTTGTTTGCAGATCCAGTTTATATTTATAGATTAGAACCTCAATAATTATAATCTTGATGTTGGTGTCATTTTTATTTGTTTCAGTTTCCAATGAACTGATAATGTAAAATGCAGTGTGTTCATTTAATATTTGAATTTCTTATTATAGAAAATGTTATCTAATTTACTTCCTAACTTAAAATAGGATTTGGCATTTGTTGTGGATGGTTGGGCCCTTGAAATAATTTTGAAACAATATAGAGCTGTGTTCACCGAGTTGGCAATCCTCTCGAGAACCGCGATCTGCTGTCGTGTGACACCTTCCCAAAAGGCTCAGGTAAATTTTTCTAGTATTACTGACAGGCGATTCCATTGTTCATCAGTTGCTATTTACCAATATTGCTGAATCATTGTCATATATGTATTCATCCTGCTATGATTGATATAGTTTTGATTGCACTATTGTTTTTAAGAAGAGTTGCATTATCTGATTTAATGGTTCTGCATTATTTTTGAAACATGTGTTTCTGATAAAATTGTTTTGTAAATCAGTATTAATAGTTCTTTCCTATGGTTGTTAGACAAAAGCACGAAAGGTAGGAACATTTTGTTGTTGTTATGCAATACAAGCTGAACGACTAGCTAACTGCAAATCTGAACATTTAGTAATATATGGAAGCTGAAAATATGGAGAATCCAAATTAATTCAACTAAAGCACTGAAAATTTCACTATTATGTTCAGACAGCTTCATAAATGGCGTTTTGAGAACTTCTTGAATTGCTTTTATAGGTGTGCGTAACATGGATTTAATATTCTTTGTTTATTTTCATCTATAAAATTGAACACTATTGATGAAATTTAACCCCCCAATTTCATTGATATGCTTCGGTGTCTCACAATGATCTAAGGTGCAATAGTACTGTGGATCAGAATGCAATTCTACAAGAAAAATAGTTATGTTTTTAACTGTCATATTTGGCATGTGAAATTGATGATGATGGTTTTAGATCCAAAAGTTCATGGGGCCGTCTAGACTTGGAAGTCTTGGAGTTCCCTTGAATAGTTCATTGACAGGAATCATAATTCGGTAGCATTGATGTGCACTATAATTGTATAATATGTATCTCGGTATGGGTGTCTAATGGATTTGTATAATTTCTTTCATTGGAAAATTTTAACGAGGCAGAATTCATCATATTTGGCTTACTATACCTATGTAAACTGATACAGAATTGACTGTCCAGAATAGAACCATTATCATCTTATAAATCTAACAGTTACTATCCCCTTTTATAATGAACTGATGCACAAGTTTTTCTGATTGATCTAATTATCAGCATCATATATTCTTTTACTTCTCTTACATTTTGTCATCTCTTTGGCCCTTTTTTTCAGTTACTTTGTTGCTTATTTTCCTTGCTATATCTTCGATGATTCTGCTGTTTTCTGATACACTAGCATGGTACAACAGCAGGTTTTCAAGAAGAGTCAAGTCTAGTTTGATTAAATGTCTAGATCCAATACACCAATAACAAGAACAACAACAGTCCATAATGTTCAAAAAATTTGGGATTGGTTAGATGGATCTTCTTCCTCGATTCAGCTTTGTTTGGGGTGTCACTAGTCAAAACAATAGCAGTCAAATATCTTATTAATTTTTTATAAAGTTTTCTTGGATCTCCGTCTACATTTCCTTACATCACTGATCCTAGTTGACAGTTATCCATTGATAAGTTCATACCATTTCCATTTCAACATCCTAATCTCAACAACACTAACTTATTTTTGTTTTTTCTTTAGTTGCATAAGATTGACTCTTAAGCATGATCAACTATGCAATTATGATATATATGTTTTTAATCTAAGGTGCATGTGATAATCAGATAAAATTACTGTCCCACTTCACTTTGTCTATCCCATTTCCAATGTGATGAACAATGTCATTAATCTCCTCCTGCGCAATAATAAATACAAGATATATAAAGCTTTTAACTTTAGGAACTTGGCTGCATATTTTTATACCTGTGGTTTTTCTATTGGCATGACTAAAGTGATACATTGTGTATTCTGTTCTAGTTCTTCTCAGCCTAAAAATTTTAGTTTCTGGCATCTATCACTATTTCTCAAGCGTAGAGTTATTCCATATAAATTCTCATCAATCAACTTAATAGCATACACCAAGGATATTCCAAATATGACTAGTAAGTTCATTCATAGCCAAGGTGAAAATGACAAATTGGATTCATTTAGGGAACTTGGAGGACGACAAGCTTAACAGTAGTGACAACTTTGTTGTGCATATCTATTATCACATCAATGTAGCTTCTAGATATTCAGGTTGTTATCTAGCTGCTGTATTCCAGTCATAAAAACTTGACTCCATTCTATTCATTATTTTAAAGAAACTCAAGATATATTAAGTTTATTCTGAAAGCTACAGAGATGTAGATGATGTTTTGCTAAAAACCTGTCATTGGTTTGCAATTAATTTCTGGTTCGGTTTTAAGCTAATTCAGGGCATAGTTAGGGGCTCAGTCTGCAAGATGAATGTTTTCAGATTATGTTGGAGTTTCTTTGAAGAAACTATAAAAAAGTGGATACGTCTGTTCACAGTGGTCGAAATTGTCATGCTTGGATTTTATGCAATAGTGGTTTACTTTAGTGTCTGTGATGTACAAGTGACTTACTGTTTTATTGATTGTCAATTTATAATGTAAAGTAATCATTTGTGTTTTTTTTTGCAGCTTGTCGAGCTTCTAAAGTCATGTGATTACCGAACTTTGGCAATTGGCGATGGTGGAAATGATGTCAGGATGATACAGCAGGCTGATATTGGTGTTGGGATTAGTGGACGGGAAGGCTTGCAAGCTGCAAGGGCAGCTGACTATAGCATCGGAAGTGAGTAGCTGGTTTGACTCTGTTTAGGTATTTTGGTAATTTGCTGATAGTGTAACTGAGTACATGTATTTTGCTTGTTCATGAAATCATCTCTCTTCATCACTAATAGCATGAGAATAATTATAGCACTGGAATTGAGTAGCTAGTTTAAGTATCTCTCTTCCTCATTGTTCACAAGAGAATAATTGTAAACTAATGATCATGGTTTTCATATGACTCATCCGACACTTTTCTTGAAGTATTATTTGACAGCTATTTATGGTAGATATGAACTATTATCATGGAAATTTCAGTTAAATATTACCATGGGAAATTTTGAACCCATCACAGGAACTTAAAAGGTACCATTGGTGCAAAAATGGGTATGATCTGGCCTTGGTTCTTGACTGTAAGGTCAATAGAGTTTCTGATCCAGAGAGTTATAAACATTGATGTTTCAAGGAAATATCAGCACAGAACTAGGATTTGACTATTGTAGTGTTGTTACATATTATGGGCTGAAGAGTTGGTGTAGCCTTAGATCAACTTTCACAAGAGAAAGGACAAACTATTGGGTTTGATTTTTAGTAAATCACGCTTAAAATTGTAGGATTTTTGTTTCCAGGATTAGATGATTTGCTAAGATTGGTGATAGGATAAACCAAGGTTTGCATTACCGTACCGTATCGGCGTTTTAACCTGGTCTCAGTACGGTACGGTGTACCGAGCAGTACACCTGATTTCATAGATTTAACCCTCAGAAAATACCTGAAAATTAAAAAAAAAGTTAGGATAGGATTTTCAAGCCACAAATAAATATAGTAATAGTATAAGTTTAACAAAATCAATATAAATTAGGTAAGAATAGTATCACATATCTTTTTCGGGCTTTGAGGTAGTCTTGTTTGAGGTTCGTATTTCAGCCCGTTATAAATTGAAATATTTACAGAAAAATCAATTGAATTGTTAGACTATTTTGTTACAATATAAACTCTAAAATTCAAATGAATTAAATAATCACATATGTAGATATAATTGATTGTTGATTACTTGATTCTACCACCAAAACGAACGACGGGCCTCCACGGGTGGTGGATCGGGGTCCTCGATCCGATACATCTGCATATCAATATAATACGTTTGTTGGACCCAATCATGAAATTGATCCCATGACATAATGTATTGATACACCGTATGCCATTGATGCATCAATGTGGTGCTGATTGTAGACTGATCGTCATGAATCATATTTGTCCGAGGTAACTCTTGGGGTATATATTGGTGAATGTCAGAGCTTTTATTTTCGCTACTGATCTGCTGTTCTATACTAAACTGTTGCTCAGAGAAGGATGACCAACTATCACCATACTGTTGTTGCCCGTATGATTCTCCATAATACGATGGCTGTGAATACGATGAGCCTCTTTCTATGTCTATATCATATATACTCTGTCGCATTTGTTCATATTCATCCACTGCCTTCCCCTTCCCCTTCCGCGCATAAACTTGACCATTACCTTGTTGAGTTCCATGATCTGAATCTTGAGTGACATGTGTAAAATATTGCTCCTCAGTCCATTCACCACCCTCAAGTTGTGTAGACGAGACCAACGACTGCCCGGCATCATCGCCATCATCTGTTGAGGCACTACTGTCCGTGTTACTGTCATGTCTCTGGACCGAGCGAGACAGAGACTGTGACTGTGAAGGTGTTTCGTCGCCCGATTTGATTCTTTCCAACGATGCAACTGATGCTACTGCCTTCCCCTTTGGCTTAAATAGGGAAGAGAAGAATGACTTAAATAGAATGAGAAAGGGCTCCAACGGTCAAATTGACCGTTGGAGCACTGTAGCACTGTTATAGTGCGGTAACAGTCGATTTCGACCGTTACCGAGTTGTGCCGGGCGGTAACGGTTGAAATTTCGACCGTTACCACCCGATATTACCCCGTATCGTCCGATACGGGGTTTTTTTGAACGCACCACCCGGTAGCGGGCGGTCCGCATACCGGTAGCCTATCGGACCAGTACGTACCGCCCGTACCGGGCAGTACGATTCGGTATGGCAGACCTTGGGATAAACATGCTTTGGTGATCTCAAAGACCACAAGTTCATAATCTAAGGCACCAAATCAAAATATTACAACAATAAGGGATATCATGATCTAGGTATTGCACTAAGAAGTTTGGATCAAAGGTAATGAACAATTGGCCTTGCTTTTGGAATAGTTTAGACCATTGTCATTCAGCACCCTTCAAAATTGAAGAGAACAAGAAAATTGTCATTCCATTAGAATATCCATGAACTGTACAAAGAAAGAACCAGTTCTTACATGGGCTTAGTATCTTTTTACTGCATAGCTTTTGATTCTGTGAAAACATATTTACAATGCTTAAGCAAATCAGAAATATGATCCTGAAGAAGATAAAAGCTAATACATTTAGATTTAGTCTAGGTTTTTCTGAAGATGGTAATAGAGATAAAAGTGGGAAGTAATTCTTAACAGCAAACTTGGGGTAGAGCAATTCGGAAATGTAGAATAAGGGTTGGTTGGATGATGGATTTGGCTTGATTGGGAGCTTCTACCATTTAGGTAACATCAAAGGTTGACATTTGATGAGTCACACTTGACTACACAACTTTGATACATCACCACCTACAAGATGATGGCATGTTGGGAGTTTAAGGATGGATGTCAGGTAGTTAAGCTGTTTCTAGTTGAGTTTTGATCATACCTAGACTCAGTTGAGCAGCTGGTTCAGTTGTCTGTCCATGTTGCATATCTCTTCACATCATAGCATTAGCTTTGCTTTTACAGACATATGAATATTGAGTTGATCAGAAACTTTATTGCCAGGCATATGCAAGAGTTATTTCTTCCTTCTAATGTATTGAAATTTTTTTTCTCATTTGTTAGATGATATAGTGATATTGTGATTCTGATCTATGCAAAAAGTTTGTATTTGCCATTACATATTATTATTACATCATCATTGGAAGAGAATGAGTTTTATTCATTAATTAACTGTTGGCATGGTTTATCAGAATTCCGGTTCCTTAAAAGGTTGATTCTTGTTCATGGGCGCTATTCTTACAACCGAACAGCTTTTCTCTCACAATACTCCTTTTACAAGTCATTGCTGATATGTTTTATACAGATATTGTAAGTTCCTGTTTTTATTTCCTGTCTTTGTTTGTTTCTGTCATTTAATATCAGTAGTTCAGAACAACATTAATCATCTTCACTAACTTTTAGAAAGTTGTTATTGAAGCTTTTGCACCATTAATGCTAATAGGGGTATGGTGCAGTTTTTCTTTCTTTTCAGGTGTTTCTGGAACCAGCTTATTTAATTCCATTAGTTTGATGGCTTATAACGTCTTCTACACTAGTATACCTGTTTTAACAGTTGTCCTAGACAAGGACCTTAGTGAGAAAACAGTGATGCAGAACCCACAGATTTTATTATATTGTCAAGCTGGAAGGTATGCAGAACTTGTTCAGGTTCAGCTGAGCTAAATATAGTTTTGTTTTATCCTTCATGCAACTGCATCAGAAATTTCAACATCAGAAAGTTTAAACTTCTTGTACGAGTTATAGTTTTTTGTTGTTATCAATTAATTATTGTAATGTTTCTTGTATATATATAGGCTCTTAAACCCGAGCACATTTGCTGGATGGTTTGGTCGTTCATTATATCATGTAAGTGAAATGCTTAGTTTGTCAGGTTCTTGTCTGTCATATCTTATAGCTTGCAGTTAAACCAAGATTGTAGTTATTTAAGTTTCTTTCCATAGTTTCGGAACAAATGCAAAAGTCAACTTTGAAGTTGCTGGCTTCTTCCAAGCTGATGAACGACACATTTTATTTGAAAATTGTGTTTATATTTATTTATCTATCTCAGCATATTTTTATAATTTGTGAATCCTGATTGCTAATAGTTTTCGTAGATAATATTTTTATTACATGTAAATCATGTTTTTATGTTCTTCTACCAATATTCATTTTCCATCCAAAATATATACGATAAGTGACTTCAATTATTTCTTCATCAGTCTAGTTGTTGCCACATTTGTGTGGTAAAGGGGCGAACACCACTAGTTGCATACTTCGTCCTTGGGTCATCCATCATTTAAATCTCTCCAACCTTGACAGATTTGAGATATAGCCAAAGGCTCCAAGAGCCCTTCTGACATTTGGCTTTCTACCTTATTTTATTGGTACTTGAAGCATGTCCCTACATTCTTTGTTGCATTGATCCCCTTTCTTGATAAACTTGCTCTCCCTATGAGTGCAACAGTTTAGTAACCTCATGAGTTTGCACATTTTCTTTGCACTTATGTATCCGACTTATTGTTGGTAACTGAGTCCCACCATAATTGTGATCATTGTGCCTTGCCTTGTATGATTAGTTGCTTCAACATCACTTGTATATTTTGGAGTAGTCCCCCTTTAATCGGACCGCAACTTGAATGTATGTCATTCTCCATTATGTTGTTGGCCCCTGCCAATTCTGCTTTCTAGCTTGCTTCCTTAGTGACATTCAGTATCAATCTTCTCCTCTGAAAGCATCAGGGCACCCACGAGCAACTTTGAGTTCTGGAATTGTAAACATTCAATAGCTTATCTGTCTAGAGGCCTAGAAATGATGTCCAGTATGGAGTTTTGGTCAGGGATTTGGGACCTGTCTCCAGTTTAAACTCTGTATCCATACCATGTTTTTTGTGGAAAGTGCTTTTGCATCTTGATTGGCAAATTGAGACATTTAAGAGCTAATTTCTCTGTGATAAATTCTTGGCCTGAGCTAAGGCCTACAAACTTTATTGATTCAAGAATCATCATTTTATCCTATCTTTATCTGCCTCCTTGAGATTCATTGTGTCAGCTCCCTTTGAAGCTGGCACCATGAATGGAGATTCATTTCATATCAAAAAGAGGGAATCAAGGAATGATATTGACATCCCTCTTGCCACATTCGAAATCTTCTCCCTAAGGATGGCTCAGAAATCTTCAAGGGAATCGCCATAAAGTTTTCATTTGCTTCAAGTTCCAACTTTGACGTCGACTTCCTTTGGCAATTCTAAGATAGAATCTGCCACCAAATTAATCATCATCATGTGACTCTGGCTCCTAACAAAGTCCAACCGAAGTTGCTTTGCATCCTGAGCTGTTCTGAATTTATGTACTGTGGCCCTTTCTATCCACCATTACAAAAGGTTGTATTCTCACTGAGTTTGATGTCCATGTATATTAGCTTGTGATTTGCCTTTGTCTCCCAGAGCGTTTAGGATTCAATAGAGGTTGTCATTTTTATGCATGTAGAAACCTTTTTCCATGCTCTTGAATTGTTAAGCTATGGTGATGTTGCCTCAACTTTCACTATGCCATGAGCTCAATATTCTTGGGCATGAATTAGGCTTGACATTCCTTTCCTCCAAGTGGGTTTGGCACCGTAGCTTGTGTCTGCACTTTGGTAAATAATTTTTTTTGACACCTTTGACATCTCTTTCAATTTTGGGGGTTGCTTTGTGGTATTGTTCCATGTTGATGAGATAGTTGTCTAGCTTCCATCATACCAATGTGGCTTAGGCACCTTTGATCTTTGAGGATGGCTACGAGCATTCCCACTACATAATTTGAGTCATCATATCCTTCAAATATTGTATGAACTCATTTCATGTCATCAGCAAGATGTCTCCACCTATATCTAGTAGATCCATTTTGGTGTGCACACCCACTTGCATGGCCTCTACTTTCACTAGACGTCCTTCACCTATGTAGAGATCTGCCAAGCTATAACCTATGACATCGAGACACATCTCGAACTCTCCCATCCTTATCTTTGTTATGTTGTGTCGTTCAGACTATCGTTCTATCACGAACGGTTGTCGCGCACCCGTAACAACTTCGTTTAACGAACCGTTAGTCGCTTTTGCATGCTTGTACAGCGACATGATAGCCTGTTTTGCCTTGGTTTTGTGTGTTTTTTCTTGTAAAAATGCATGTTCGAACATGTTACAGCGCTGCAGTGCGACCGTTCACCGCGCCGGGCCGAACTGCCCCAAAATGGCTCCGTTTTCACGTGCCACGACTTGTTTTCTGCAAGCCGCAGCTGTACGCAAAACGTTAGCCATCTCAACACCCTGGAACCCCCCGGGTGGCACAAGACTAAATGGGGCTTCGGTATATGGTATTGTCCGTGTTTCTTCACCGATCTAGCTGTCGTCTCCTTTGAGCAGTGTAGGTAGTGCCAAACCACATGTTGTGTACGTCGTCCCTCAGTCAACCATCAACCATTTTCTCTTACCTTGTGCCTAGTCAATAAAAAGACTTCAGATAGAGGCTCCAAGAAGACCTCTGACATCCTTCTACCATGTTTTGCTAGTCCTCAAAGCATGTTCCCACATTTCTTGATGCCTTAGTCACCTTTCTCAGCCAACAACTTGCTTTCCCTGCAAGAAAAACGGTTCGGTGCATGTTCAAAAGATCTGCCTTGTGGTACATGATACTCCACCATGAGTTCACTTCTTTTTCTTTCGATGCCCATGTATCCATCTCCCCGTCAGATAACCGAGTTCCACCAGGACTACCAATCATCATGGCTTGCCCTCTACGACTGTTTCAACATGCCTTAATACCTTGAAGTAGTTCCCCTCTGATCAGACTGAACTCATTTCTTTGATTGAGATATTAGATGCTGGTTTACTCTTCTGAGTTCTGGTTATGCATGTCCATCGACTGTTACAGGCTAGATGTCACTAAGGGTCATCTGTTCCTGTTGTTCTCTGAATTAGCTGTATAGTTTACAATTATCAACAAAATTATTGTAATTTGCTCTTAACACTACTCATGGTCAAGATTTTGCCTTTTTTCATGATTTCAGGCATTAGTTGTTTTCTTAATAACTGTGCATGCATATGCTGATGAGAAAAGTGAGATGGAAGAGCTGTCAATGGTCGCACTCTCTGGATGTATTTGGTTGCAGGCCTTTGTCGTGACAATTGAGATGAAGTAAGCATTGGTAACTGTGTCATTTGAAAAGGTAGTTTTTTTATTGTCGAGAAAGTTCATTCCTCTAAAACATAACTTGCTAAATCTTCCAGTTCCTTCACAATCTTGCAACACCTTGCTATCTGGGGTAATTTTGCGGCTTTCTATTTCATCAACTCTTTAGTCAGTACCATACCATCAGCAGGAATGTACACCATCATGTTTCGCCTCTGTAGACAGCCGTCGTACTGGATAACTGTGGTTGTGAGTATCATGTTGTTCACATATGGTTATAAATTATCGTTACCATTTTATTTTCTTTTTCTAAGAACCTCTTTGTTCCAGCTTATTGTTGCAGTAGGAATGGGTCCAGTGCTAGCCCTCAAGTACTTCAGATATACATACAGATCAAGTGCCATTAATATACTTCAGCAGGCGGAGCGATCTCGTGGACCCATCTTCTCAATGGGGGGCCTTGAGTCGCAGCTCAAGTCCCTAGAGAAGGATGTTGCTTCATTGTCGACATCCCAGAGTAAATTCAGGAACAGTGTTTATGAGCCCCTGCTATCAGCATCTGACCCCCCTCCAACATCTACCAGAAGGTCCATAGGACCTGCAACATTTGATTTCTTACAACCAGCGCAATCCAGGCTGTCCTCATCTTACTCAAGAAATTGCAAAGATAATTGATTTTTTTTTTGTCATTTTTTCAGTACAAAGAAATGTGAAATTTCTATTGTGAAAAGAACTTGAAAGAAGGAATTTCCTATAGAAAGTTCGATATGGAATTTTTGGACTGTTGTCAAAATGTACCTACCGTATATAGAATCAAGAATGCTTAGGCCTAACATAAGTGTTTTATGCTCATTGAGAAACTCAATGCTGAAGGACATGCCAAAATAAAATGCATATTCCATAAGTTACCTAAAGTACCTGTTTTTTATTGTTTTTGCCTTTCAGATGTAAAAGAAATGGTGCATTACGTGATTCCTTCAGTTACAGGGGAGGGTTCATTAACATAGCATATATGCCGTTTTGGCATAGCATATCTCCACGGATGGAAACAATGTCGTATTGCCACAATTTGCATAGTTGTTTGAGCTAATTGTGTTGTTGGTACTGCAGTTCACCTACTCTAGATGTTGGGCTCGAGTGACTTATGAAATATGTTCTCAGAAAATTAATCTTATATCGTGCTTAAGGGATCGATGCTGGATGGATACACGGGAGACGATGCCTACCGACTAATTAATTAATCTTATATCACTTAACGATTAATTAATTAATTAGTAATTAATTAAACCCACCCAACCCCACCCCACCCCCTGATCACTCTGATGACCGTTGATGATGGTGATGATGATGATGATGAATTGGTTGGTCAGGAGACCCTCTGGATGAGATGGGTGAAAAGGGTTGCGGCCTTCCGTCGGTTCTCTTCTTTCTCAAAGATCCTTGTTGAAACGAGCAACAAGGAGGCCATGACAGCCCTTCTTCACTCCATCTCCGCCCACCCGAGCTCCAAACCCCCGGACGCCACCGTCACCAGATGTAAGCCACGCTTCCTCTCCCATCTCCCAAACCTCCCTTCTCTCTCCCTCAACAATGGCTTCTCCAGGGTCTTGGCCTCGCCCCCCGTCGCCCTCCCCCCTAAGGACGCCGCCTCCTTGTCCCTCCCCAGCTGGAGGAACGGCAAGAACGAATCGAGAATCAAGGAGGTCCGGCTCCACGACGCCTTCCTTCACCTGGAGCACATGGTGGGGAAGGGGCACAGGCCCGACGCCGCCCAGGCCACTCAACTCGTCTACGATCTCTGTAAGTCCAACAAGATCCGGAAGGCCATTCGCGTCATGGAGCTGATGGCCAGCTCTGGAACCACCCCCGAACCCTCCACCTACACCTTCCTCGTGAATCAGCTGTGCAAGAGGGGCAACGTCGGGTACGCGATGCAGTTGGTTGATAAAATGGAGGAGCACGGGTGCCCCCCCACCACCATCGTCTACAATTCCCTGGTCAGGGGCCTCTGCATCCACGGCAATCTGCAGCAGAGCTTGCAGCTTTTGGAGAGACTGATGCACAAGGGGCTCATCCCCAATGTGTTCACTTACTCTTTCTTGCTCGAAGCAGCCTACAAAGAGAGAGGGGCTGATGAGGCGGTGAGGCTACTGGATGAGATTATCGCCAAAGGCGGGAGGCCTAATCTCGTCAGTTACAATGTTCTTCTTACTGGATTCTGCAAGGAAGGTCGGTTGGAGGACGCAATGCAGTTCTTCAGGGGGTTGCCATCCAAGGGTTTTCGACCAAATGTCGTCAGCTACAATATTCTTTTAAGGAGTCTGTGTTACCAAGGGCGGTGGGAGGAGGCAGAGGAGCTCTTGGCTGAGATGGGCGAGAGGAATTGCGACCCTAGCATCATAACATACAATATCTTGATCGGTTCACTCGCTTATCATGGTCGGACGGAACAAGCAGTTGACATCTTGGAGGAGATGGCAAGGAATGGGTTTAAGCCCGTAGCCGCGAGCTATAACCCCATAATTGCTCGGTTCTGCAAGGAGGGAAAACTGGACATGGTTCTCGAATGCCTGGACATGATGCATAGGCATTGTACTCCTAATGAAGGCACTTACAATGCAATCGCGGTGCTCTGTGAAGAAGGGAAGGTGGATGATGCATTCTCCATATTGCAAAGCTTGGGCAATAAGCAGAATGCTTCCATGAATGACTTCTACCGAAATGTGATATCATTCTTGTGTAAGAAAGGGAACACCTTTGCTGCTTTCCAGTTACTGCATGAGACGACAAAACATGGATTTACTCCGGATTCATACACCAATTCCTCCTTGATCAGAGGTCTTTGCATCGAGGGCATGCTGGATGAAGCCATTGAGCTCTTCGAAGTGATGGAGGAAAATGGTAATAAGCCTGATATAGACAACTACAACTCACTTATTCTTGGATTGTGCAAGGCTCAGCGGACAGATCTGTCATTTGATATATATGAATCAATGATCGAGAAAGGTTATGTGCCTAATGAAACAACATACACTATCCTGGTTGAAGGACTTGCTCATGAGGATGAAGCAGATTTGGCTGCAGAGGTGTTGAAAGAGTTGTACTATAGAAACATTGTGAGCCAAAATACCATGGAGAGGATCACTATGCAATATGACTTGGACTGATTTTTGGTACATGTGGTTGCAGTTTAAGCAGTTGACCAGCTCCTTGGTAAGGGATGCGTTGCTAGAGTTTGGAACCTGAACTTATGTGAATCTTCTGTTATCAAGCACATATATCTTGATGTCAATCACAATCTGAGTGCCATTATCGTGATGGATGTGATTGTACCAAAATCTCTCTACTGTTAGCTACGCTTTAGTTCCTGGCTTTCTACTTCTATGCTGATCATTCATTCTGAAGGAAACTTTTGTTGCACATGCTGAAACATCTATTCAAAATTTTCGCTGGAAGAATCACCAAACTAACTAGTTAGTCATGGATTTTCATTATTCTGGCTGCTTATTGCTTTTAGGATCCTCAAATCCAAAGCTTTCAGTATATTATATGGCATGTGGGGCATAATCTCTGTATTGTCTCCAGCCTCATGTTAGTTCTAGTTCTCCTCCTAGGCATCAACCGTTGGTGCTGCATTGCTTCTTAAAACCCAATGGGAAGAGTTATGCTGGCAGCATCGGATGTTGTTTCCTGAGAAGTATGGATTGGCAGGTACTCATTTCAAGTCATGTCAGTCTTCATTTGCAGCCAATTTCATCCATGCATGTAATGTTATAATATCAATGGCATGTAAGGATACAACCAAGTCACTGTTTGTGCAGTTGAGGTTAATTTAGACTATGGCCCCATGATTGTTGAGATATGCTTTCTAAGCCTTAGGTGCCAGGAGAAGCTGTCAAATATGTTGGACAATCTTGTGTATTAGTATTTTCATTTTGCTATTTTCTCAAGCTTCAAATATGATTAATGGTTACTTGGTAGATGACTGGCATCTCTCTTGGTCCAAAGCCCTTTGGAAGTGAAGTGTCAATAAAGCAATGGGTAGAGTTCTGTTCCGTGTTCCTTCCTTTGTGACAGTAAGCATAAACTGCAATTTGGTGAAAGATGGTCTTTTATTGAGCACGAATGAAACTTGGATTTTAACTACAAGCCAAAGGTTGCATCTTTTAGAAGTCGATAGAACCAAATGAAATTGCTCCCAGTATTCTGCAAACTGGAAGTAATAGCTCTCTCTTGATGTTACAGAAAGGACATGATGATCTTATTATTCACTTTGATGCTTTTATGAATTATCTATCATTTATAAAGTCCTCAGATGTGTCAAATCTGAAACTATCGTCTGTTTAAGTTTTTTTGTGCTTGTTGTCGAACAATATTTTTGAATTAAGGTGTAACAACGCATTATTTTGGTGTTCTTTACTTGATAACCTGTGCTTGCATGATATGCTGTCAAAGTTATATTACATGATATTTACAAGAAGATCCAAGAAGTCATGTCTGTGAAATATATTGTTTTTCAATCCATTGATCATCTGGTTTTCTGCATCAAAGTGAACAAAACATCAACTGCCAAAGCTGACATAGCACTTGCTGCAAAACTTAACATGTGGAAACTGCAATTTACAGTGTAGATTCAAACAAGCAGCTAAAGCTTCATCGACTAACTTCACCTAATCCCTTGCAGGTATAGAAATGTTCAAGACGACCAGACTTTGCATGACTAACATAGAGCTGTTTGGTGTTTTGTTCTCCTGAAGTTCTGCTGCATGTCCCCTATTCTCTAACTGATCAAATGAAGGGAAGAGAGGAATGGCTCCATCTTACCCAAATTAGACTCTCTCTCTCTCTCTCTCTCTCTCTCTCTCTCTCTACATAACCATGTAGACAAGTTACTGCCCTAGAGCTGTTTGGTGTTTTGTTCTTCTTGTCTTGTGCATGTCCTTCCTCTGTAACTCACCAAACGGAGGAAAATGAAGCAATGGATGAAGCTTAGCAAAGCTACACTCTCTACACAACCTTTTTGGCAAGTTACTGCCTCGGAGCTGGTTGGTGCTTTGTTCTTCTGACCTTGTGTTTGTCCCTTTCTTGAACTTACCAAATATTGACAAGCTGTTGCTATTAATATCACCAGAGTAGTAGTAATTGTGATCCCCCAAAGAGATCAACAAGGCTTTTTTTAGCACACAGCCAAAAGTTGAGCTCCCCATTGGAATAAACTCCCATTATTTGATATCTTTTCCTTATCAGATTAAACAAAGCCAACTCATGTATTCTCTTATCTGTTCGTTTCTTGCAGCTTCACCAGCCATCTGATTTGACTTATTTTGGAATCGAGTTGCATATATATATATATATATATAAATTAATGATGTTGATAATTGTAAGAAAAATAATATTTCAAACTATGATATGATTAATATTGAATAAACTCATTTTAAAAAAAGATGATAAATGGAAAGTATATGGTTGATGACATGGGCTTGTGAACAGTGTTGTTTTCTCCACAGCAGTCATCACTGCTTGTCGTTACAAACAGACACCGTTACAATGATAGATAAATCCATTCCTAAATGTCGTCAAGAAATATGGCCGTCATAAGGATCGTAACGGACGCGACGTTGATCTCCTCGTTCTCACCGTTACGCAAAAACGCAGCATCTTTTTCTTCGCTCGTTTCTTCCCGTCGTCAATTCGAGGCGATTTGAGTGCTCTCCGAGCGGTAATTCTTGTCATCCCTCTTCTTCTTCTTCTTGCGGATCGAGTCGAAATCTTTGGTTCTGTTTTCATGACTTCATGCGTTCCTTTCTTGGTTGCCTGTAGTTGTGAATGATTTCGCCGTTGCCGGTCTCTCTTTCTCGCCGTCGATTAGGAGTTTGCCCTCATGGACGTCGGAAGCCCTAAAAGGTAGGATCGTGCCTCCCGATCCGTTCCTAGTTGGTTCTTGGGTTTCATGATCTTGACTGGTTTGATACAAGTCCTCAATGAACAACTTCCTCGTTTGGTTTCTTTGTGCCTTTGATCCAAACCATTAGTCTGTGTACAGGGGAAAGATTCACAAAGGGAAGAGTGTTGCAGATGAAGGGACGGCAATGAGCGAGCAAGCGATGAATGACAGACAATGGGAGAACTTGCCTACTAACTGCTTGGTGGATATCTTCCAAAAGTTGAGCCTCCATGACTTGACACTGGGTGTTCCTTTTGTGTGCAAGTCTTGGTACGAAGCTTCACTGGATCCTAGTTGTTGGAAGATCCTCGATTTCAAAACTATTGATCCACGGCCAGGGAGCGAATTTACTGAGAAATTCAAGCACGAATATCGATTAGATAAATATCAATTCAGGGGTTTTCTAAACTTCCTCATTCGCCGCAGCTGCAAATTAGCCATTTTGCTTATACATCCTCCTAGTCAACGCATCCCAATTAACGACTTGGTCTATATTCTCAAAGAGTAAGCACATTGTGTACTCATCATCAATTTCTTGTCTAAGTTTACAATGTGCTAGAGTACTGGTGTAGGTTGGTTAACATTCTCAAGAGGCATATTGTGCTAGCTTTTTGTATGATTTAGTTTAGTAATGTTTTTCATCATTTTGGTTGAATGCAGATGCCCAAAGTTGGATATTTACAATCCGCCACTATCGGTGAAGAATCCAGGTCTCATGCGGAAATTTATTTTGACAGTGCACGAGACCATATTGAGAAGAGCTAGTTATGAATTCATGTAGAAACCTTTTATCAGTTATTGGGTCTGTTTTCTTCACACTGTTAGTTTATTTAATAAAGTTTCTACCTTGAATGTTTTGTAGTTTCAGTACTGGTTCTTAGCATTTTATGAAGCATCATCTAAGTTATTGGCATCTTTATGCGTATAATTTGATAGATTTATTTTGTTGCAATTATATTTTATCGTTAGATAAATTCCCTTTTCATCGATGATTTACACTACGCATTCATAGGTCTGTTGCATATATAGTTTCTGCAGATTATTCTTGTTATCAGTATGCTACATTAGTTTGTAGATTAAGTTAGGATATTATTATTTTTGAGACAGAAAAGTTGTCTTGCTTTTTGGAACAAACTGTATCTGTGGGCTTTCACAGATCACAAATGTTCTTGCTAATTGATATTTTGGTTTTAGATTGGATTACTGGATGTGATTGACATTCTTACTTTGTCAGTTTCTTATCTCATCTAATGGACACAAGTACAAGAAGAAAATGTGTTATTTACTGAAATTATAAAACCATGTCGAATATTGATGGCCCTTCAAACCATTAGCAGTTGCAGCTACAAGAACTATGCGGTAATGTGTTCTCTTCTCTTCGAAAACCAAATGTGCATATTCATATTTGAATATTTTCTCTTCCCTAATGACCTAATATCTCAGATTGGGGTTGGTTTATCAATTTTATTTTTTGGCATGCTCAACATGTTGAGAAATCGATCAGCTTTTACTAATGTTTTTAATTGAGAGGTATGGAAAAGTATTTACCATAGTATTTAATAAAGGTGGCAGCTCAAAGTAATTCAGATTTAGTAGGTGAATGTTAAAAATATTATACCAGGAATATGTTTACCAAAATCAAATTCTATTACAAACTGATTGGGTTTGGTTCGCTAAGGGCAATACCATCCACATGATCATGTATTCAAGATTTAATAGTAGGTTTTTGTGGGTAGACAAAGTAAAATAAGAACTAAATCTCCATGGATCACTAGAGAACAGGGCACAAGGGATGAGCAGTAGGTACCAAAAGCAAGGTGACTTGGTGCTACCACTTATTAAACATGATGTATGTGGCGCCTTGATCTTTATACTACCCTTACAAGAACAGTGACCTTTGTTTGGTTCTACACATATATATATATATATATATATATATATATATATGATCAGAAGGGGGTGCTAATATTTCCTGGATGTCTAAAACAAGTTAGAAGCGACTCATATCTTATAAAGGGAAGCTTCTTGTTTTCTCCTCTTATCTCCTTACATCCAGAGTGCTGCTACAGCATGGGTGTGCCTAAGATGGAGGATGGATCTCTCTGTTGATCATCGCAACCCTCTTTGTGATTTTTCTTTGTCTCGTCTTTCATATTGTCAAGCGTCTATTACTCAAAAGTGACTGGTGAAGCTCAAAATGATCCTAAGAGACACTTGAAGGTCATTATACCATGCTGGGAGCTTGTGACAGATGATGAGTTTGGAGGACAATTCAGCTTAACACAACTATTTGCAATGGTTGGTTATGGTGTTCAAAATATCATGCACATCTATATGTATGTGCTGGTGTTGCTTCCTCTACACTTGGGGCTCAAGTCACCAAAGCATGGAAGAGCCACCAAATCAGTGACATCATTTCTCTATGCTCTTCTAGCCCTGATTGCAGGTTACGTTGGAACTCTACTAATAAAAACTTTGAAGCCCAGCTGCATGTTTTCCAGAGACTGGATCCAGGCATCCTCTTTGATCACACTTCAAGTTGCTGTAACCTCGTAAAGGTTGGCACTCTCATAATCAAGGTGAATGATGCAACCATATCCTTTATTATCTCAAGCTGCATTCTTATGCCGATCATATATTCTTGGGAGGATACTTGGGTAGATATGCAGAGCTCATTCTTCTGCCGATTCTTACAAACAGAACTAGTGATATCATCAGTCGATCATCATTTCTCATTGTTGGAGCTGGATATGTTTTGTCCCTAATCTGTGATGTTGAGGTGATAAACATCTTAGAAAGCAGCTGGCATCAGAACTCACTTCTGGAGTCCGTCCCTGTACTTCTTGTCCATACAATTACCATAGTATCAGTGTGCAGCAGTGGGCTTGTTCTGATGCATATGCAGCTCAGCACAGGGGAAGTACGCTGCCGCCAATGGTGGAAAGCTTTCCTTTCGTTTGGCTTTGGAGCTCCATTTGGGCTCTTACTATTCTTCAGCAGCATCAGGTGGCAATTGCTTGTCATTGGAAATTGGGATGGTCATGCTCTACTCGCAGCAAACTTGATCAGCTCACTTGTCACAGGTTTATGGGGCGTGCTGACTTTGGGCACATTCGGCCTTGTTCTGATATTTATGATCTATTACGTTTCCTCGAGAACCCATGATGCATGCCCTTCAAGAACACAACAGAGAAACTAGCACTAATATCACTGTTCTTAGAGTATCTCTTATGAGAATACAAATACTGGTAAGAGAAGGGAATAATTTTTGTGTGTGCTAGTGTTCCATCTGTTTCTTTAAGACCACCATCTTGTGGTTGATTATGCCACATGGAACCAGTGAGGGCTATGATGTTTGATCAAACTTTTCTGCCTTTGTTGCTTAGTACAGTAATCCATAAAAAAAATATCAGTTTATTTTTTAGTGTGTCATTCTTGTAAATTTTGCGTTGTCATCTATTTTCTACTTACGCAAGAAGTGATTTGATATAGATAATCTCTTTCATCACCACCTTGCTGCTAGTCTTGAAAAGAATGGAACAGCTATCATTATCATCAAAACCTTTTCGTAGTTTATAATAAGATTTGTTATACCGATGTATACCATTCGGTACGGATGGTATATATCGATCTGATAAGGGCTCAATATGTGGATCATCTTATAACGAGTAATTCCATTATATGATCGTATATCGAATGATACGAGATTTGTACTCGTTCGTCGTGCAAATGCAAAGGGTTAACTTCCATGAAACCACTTATGGTTTTAATAATCTACAAAAGAGAATACAGAGGAAGTGTTTTTAACTCGAGATCTCGCAAAAAGTTATTTCAGCAAACACTTGATAGACAATGCAAACTATAAATATAAACTTTGTAAAGCTTTAAACGATCACATAACAAAGGGTCCAAGGTGATCCGCCACAATCGTCCCCGTAAGTGCCTATATGATATTATTACAAAACAAGATAGCGAACCAACCCTAGACACTACCTCAAAAGCTTATCCAACCACGTGTCACCTGGGTTGCTCTTGAGTGCTGTGTTGGCAGACACTTCGCACAATTGTACGGAGCTAGAAAACACCCAAAAATAGCTACCTAGATGGCTTGTTTCTAAGCAGTTTTACCTCTGTACAATAACTGCAAATAACTTATATTTATAAGCCTGAAACAACTACAAAAACCAACAAAAATAGACCTGTCAAATATATTGCAAGCCCTCTACACACTATGTAAAGTATGAATAAAATCGAAAGACATAAGCATATATGAGCATTATATCGAATACCCTATCTATTACTTTGTCTATGACATTGTCCCCTACTTATTCCTTCGACGTCATCATTGGAGCCTTTGTGGATGCTACATTTCTTTGCCTTTGTTGAATTTTTAATCTTTTACTCCAATTGCAATGCGTCTCTTGGCCCTCAACTACTCTTTGACACTTTTGTTGAGTAATCGAACTTTGATCCATTATATTGTTTTAACTCGTCAATGACTCTGACTTTAGTATAGGGTCAATCAAGTTATATTGATCCTCGATGTATCGACATAAGATATATATGTATTGTACTAATAGTTGATCAGTACTTATTATTTTAGTATTGGATTGACAAATGACTAGAGACTTCTAGCTAGAGTGTAATTTAATTTGCACAAAAATGAGAAAAAGAGAGAAGAGATGAACTCAAGGAGAGATTTACATACATGCAAGACTAGCAAAGATGACAGCATTCAGCATATCAAAGCTTTTCTCACCTTTTGGCTGTGGTTGATGGAAAATATATATGCATGGTTGACAATTAATTCTCTGAAAAGAACTTCATCGTCAAGATGCTTAGATTGTGAGGTAGATTATGTTTCTTAAAATAAATGCCTTCAGAAAACACACATACCTCAATAGCAATTGTGAGCTCTCTCTCTCTCTCTCTCTCTCTCTCTCGCTCTCGCAATTAACTTCTTTCTTGTATCATGCTGGTCGAATGCAGATGCCCGAAGTTGGATATTTACGATCCACCTCTGTCCACGAAGAATCCCATCTCTCGTGGAAATTTATTTTGACATATTGTGGAGAGTTGCAGAGTCGTAAAGTTCTGAATTCCTATAGAAAAAGCATGCCCTCAATCTGTTTTCTTTACTTTGTTAGTTTATTTAACAAAGTATATAACACAAGTATTTTGTGGTTTTAGTGCTGGTTTTTAGCGTAGTAGGAAGCATCATCTAAGTTAGTGTCACCTTTATGCGTATAATTTTGATAGATTTTTTTTTTAGTTGCAACTAGCAACGAACAAGTGTATGACAGTCCAAAATAAATCAGTTTTTGTAAGTAAATTTGGTACAAATTGATTGGTTTTATTAGAACAATACTACTAGTAATCCACATGAAGAAATGAATCATATGCTCAAGATATAATAGTAGGCTTTTTGTGGGTAAGCAAAGAATGGTGGGACTGAGTCACCTTTGATGCATGCAGCCTTCTTTTGCCCTGTTCTGTTGTTGTGGACCATGGAGAAGGTACTGATGAAGCTACTGCCTGAATGCATAGCTTCTAAAAGGGAAATGGATTTAAATGTATGAACCCTTTCGCTGGAGTTGGTGCTGAAGTAAATGTATGAACCTTAGAAAGCAGAGCTCACCAAATGCATGAAGCTATTTCACATAAGTTTTATGAACCTTCTGCCATACCTAATTCATTTATTTGTTGTGGTCTTCACCAAGAATAGGGTTGTAATGTTTTGAGGATGGAAAACTATATGCTTAACTGTAGTTAGTGCTGAAGTCAAATGTGCTCAGACCCCTTAGAGAGGAAGGCTCACCAAATGCATGAGGCTATTTCACATAACATGTATGAGCTTGTGCAGACCCTTTGTAGGTGAAGATGTGACCTAAAGCATGCCTAACTCATTCATTCCTCCCTACAAGAACCTCTTCATTGCTCTTCGGCACCACCAGAGACTTGCAACTTCAACATTTCTGATGGATCCAAAACTCTATTACTGCATCATCGCCTTCCATCTCCTCCTCCTGTGCTGCAACTCCGACGTCTTTGCTCGAGGACTTCACGAAACACCTAATCGTCCTCCCGACGTATTCGCTCGGCGACTTTCCGAAGCACCACCCAAGCGTACTCCGGACGTGTACCATGGAACCTTCTCGGCGGAGGCAAGCCTGTATTCATCTGCAGCTAAACCCGAGCCACCGGAAACCAGTTGGAGCTATGGAGAGACACGAGCAACACCTCTGCATCGTCCCAGCAGTCACTATCGACCATAACATCTGATACAATCCCATCCTAACATGTCCATTTCAGCCATGAGTGACGCCAGGGATGGTAGAATCATATACAATAAACTCGGCTGCCTAATACATAGAGAGTTGTTATTTTCAGAGTTCCTCACTCGTTGCATGCACACTATAATCAATAACACAATCTACGCGAATCTTGATGTCAAAGGAGATATATCTAACGGCGCCTGCTACTTTTCCCCCTTACACATGCCAGGCTTAGTGCAGCTTATCTTGGAGATTTCCACCGCCATCCATTGACCATCGTCTTCCCAGTTGAGACCGCAATAGTGGTTGTCTCTAATGGAGTTCTGTAGATAGTAACTGGTCAGAAGTTAATGATCTATACTATCTAATATTCATGGTTGATGAGATGACTTTGAGTCTCTCTCACTCTCTATCTACTATAAATAGAGAGTATATACTGACTGTGAATGCATGGCTTCTACCCTAATCTCGATAGGGAGCACAGAATTCAGTCATGTGAAAGGTCTAAACCTCACTCAGTTCCAGAAGCCTCTCGGAGTCCGCCATTAGCCTCAAATGACGACCATATTATGTGCAATGCTGAGATCTTGTTTGTTGATCTCTGCGAGCATTAATAATGCACTTATTTGACTCGGGATCTCAGACCAAATTTGCTTAAGCAGTAGATGAAACTTTTTGACACCTATTCTCACACAGGGTGGGAAGGTGAACCAACAAATCAAGATTTCCACCCTCTCCCACCAGCACATACGCATGATCCATGGCCAAGGAGAAGCCAACCACCAAGCCAAGCTGATCAACCCCGTTGACCCAACTCAGAGCCATGTAATACCAACCCAAACTCCTCCGTTACCTTTCTCCCACTATAAATATGTATGAAGAGCATTTGGTTCACATCATCAAACCAAGAAAATCATGGCTTCCAGGTGCGATGGTGTCTTCGCCATGGCCATTCTCGTGGTCGTCGTCTTCTCCGGTAATATCGAGACCTGCTTCGCAGCACGCCATCTCCTGGACACAGCTGAGCCTGCAGCAGCACCGCCTTCCATCCCAGCCATGCCGAAGCTGACGCTGCCGCCGATGCCGGCTATTCCGAATCTCATGGTGCCACCACTGCCCGTGGTACCGACCATTCCTACCCTTGCGGCGCCGCCACTGCCTGCTTTTCCCACCATACCGACGGTCACGTTGCCTCCGATGCCTTCCATCCCAACCATTCCTATCATCCCCTTCCTCACCCCACCGCCTGTAGCAGCGCCATGATGTCGAAGCAAGCCTAAGAACTTACTATGTGTGTGTCGTCTTTGAATTAAGCTATGGTGAGGAGTGTCGGTATAGCACAAGGGAGTCATCTGTCATTATAGGATTCCACTGAGGCATTGATATCTTACACCGTATGAGGCTGCTCGGGTCCATACTTCATCATGTGTTGTATGAAGCATGCTTGGGTTTGTTTAAGCACTCTATATATCTTGAGTTTGGGTATGTGCTTTAGCTAGCATCTGCTTTATAGTAAATTTATATGATCCATTCACCAAATGGCTACTTAACTCTCTCTGTCTATCTCTATTGTGTTCTACGGAGCTTGCTTCTTGCATTCCTGGGTTGCTTCGTATGATTCCATTGCTTTAGTATGTTATGGTAACTTCATATGATTTATTCACCAAATCTCTCTCTCTCTCTCTCTCTCTCTCTCTCTCTCTCTCTCTCTCTCTTTCTCTCTCTTGGCAAAAGGAAAATGCATTAATTCATTGTCTGCCTGAGGGTTGTGCAGCTGAAGGAAGGTGCTTGGAGCCAGCAAGCACAATGTTGCCCCGCGAGTCTAAGATGAGGAAGCCCGAACCTGTAAGGCTGGAATTGGGATCACAAGAGCCATCACAGTGAGGGGCTGGTGGAGTGGCTTGGCAGGTTCCACGTAGAGCCGGAGGCGACGGTTTGGGTAGGGAGAAGTTCTCTCAGGGAGGTCTTGTATTCAATATTATCATTGGTGAAGGTCAAAGATCTATTCCATGTAAATTCAATCTATGATGAGAGTTGTAAAAGAGATGGTCATTCTTGTGTTTCCATAAGAACCAAAGACTGTCGTAATGAAAGTTCTCAGGAAGATAGCACTCTGGTTATCAAGCTTCTCTCCCTTAACGCAGCCATGAACCATAGATCTAGGAATCAAAGAGGCTAAATTGATAAGATAGTTTGGTACCAGCAAGATGCCTGTGGTTCTGAACGAAAAGACAATTATACCTTTTTTGTGGAGCAAATGTAATTATAGGAAAGGCGGGAGGAAATGTAATTGTGTAGCATCGGAACAGTATACTCAGAAGTAGGTGGTCTTTTTGATAGAAGCTTGTGTTCTTTGAAAGCTGTCCCATCGTCGTTCACCCAAAGCCAAGCCAGATTGTAGAATTGATGGATCCCTCAGCCTTTAGAAGTCTGCACACACTTTTGGGTGTGAGCGTTTGCACGGGATGAGGAGTCCAGACTCGAAACAAAAATCATCGTAAAGATGGGAGAGAAGATAAATGAAAAGAATCGTTTAAGGTTTTAGCCAAATGGGAAGTTGGAGAGACTAGTGTTTCGATAAGTGCTTATACCATAAGATTAATGACTCGATGGAAGGCGGCGACATATTAAGGATTGATGAAGATTGTGAGATAAGCCAATGAGATAGTGGGATAATTGAAAATTCATTGGTCATTCAAAATAGAAATAAAAAGTTCATTTGCTATCATCTTTTTGAAGAAGTCAGAGGAGATATTTCTCTACTAACTTGTTCTTGTTAATTTATAGACTAGTAATGAATAAGTAAATGTTGAGGGCCTTAATAATAAGGTTCTAGCAAGATTTATCACTAGTTTTAATGATTAGAGGACATCTATTATATGTAAATATGAGATGAAAAACTTTGAAGCCTTTGATATTATAGGGAGTAATCTTTTTATTGGCCACAAACTCCTTAAGGATTCCGGTAAGATTCTTTTTTACTAAAATAAAAATAAAGACCGCTAGAACTTTAAACTAGTCAAAGGGGAAGTTATTAATGACATATGAGAAAGTACGATGGACAATGCATGATTGAATCAAGGATATAAACAACGAGAGGTAAGTTCATTTTTCAAAAGAGCCAAATATTACTTTTCAAGGTATAGTATAGAAAGCTTTGGCAATGTTCAATTTGACTAGAATCAGTAGAGCTTTTCCTTTAGAGTGAATATGGAGTGGATCAGTTCATATACAATAAAAATAGTATCATGGATTGAATTACTTGAAATAAATATAGATTGGTTATGGTCAATGATTAAATCGAAACCAGGTTTAACTCTATTTATAAAGACTTTAAATAGATTCTTGTAGAGAATGTTACATATGGAGATGAGTTTATAGTTAGTAACCTTGGAAGGGTTAGGGATCTTCGGAATAAAAACTAGGATGCATTTGGTCCAAGAGGAGGGAACTATCACATTAGCGTACAAGTCATTAAAAGCTCGATGAATTGTTATCCCATTAGTCTTTGAAGAACTTAGTAGTATAATCATCTAGGCTATGGCTTTTGCCTTATCCAATACCCATAATGTCCTTGTAGATTTCCATAGGATGGGGAGGATGGATAAAAGAAAATATCACATCTCCGTATCTTAATTGATATATAGACTAATTTAGGAACAAAATATTAAGACGATCAAATATGAAGGAGTGAATATGTTTTTGTTTAAATCGGTAGTTAACTTAAGGCTATATTACCCATTAATGCTACATCTCGATGAATATATATATATATATATATATATATATATATATATATATATATATATATATATATATATATATATATATATATATAATACTAAGAAGAATAGTATGATGATAACATACTTGATAAATATTATATTTAAAATATTAATCGATGACGATTCATTTATCTTGAGTTTAAAATATTATATTATAAATGTTTATGATGGGAGGGGATTTTGGTCTAATAAAAACCATATTACTATGTGATGGGGCCTTATTGGTTGCTTGCGTTGGGCGATGTGGGTCAGCCCTTCGATCCATTGGCAACATTGCCCGTTATCCGTTGCCTCTTCTTGGTCGTTGCTCCTCGTTCTTCCACGTCCGGCGCTCCCGTCGTCCCATCTCGTGTGGTGATGGTTCCGTCGCAACCGCGCGAGGGGTGCTTCGCTTGTGATCTGTGATCAAGCCCCGCTTCTATCGCGTGTACCTTTTCTCGTCTCTCCGACCCTCGCTCCATTCCTCGCCAAGCACGATCCTTTATATCCGCGCGGTTGGATCGAAATCCACCTCTTCTCTTCTCAAGAAACCATCTTCTGGTCTAAAAATCCGATTTTGGGCCTTAAATTTGCTCAAAGTTGTAATCTTTCGGCGGCAGCGCAGGGTTTGAAGGGATTGCTTCGGATGGCACTGCAAGTGAACGGGGCTGGGTTCTCTCTGCTTCGTTGGAGGAGAGGGGGAGCGCTTAGGACGAGAGCCGTTGCTTCGGAGAGCGTTGCGACGACCCGGGAAGAAGTGGAGAAGGTGAAGCTGGGTGGCTCCGATTTGAAGGTCACCAAGCTCGGCATCGGTGCGTGGTCGTGGGGAGACACCACCTACTGGAATGACTTCCAATGGGATGGTAATGTTTGACATTTCTTCAGTCACTGATGATGAGCTCATTATCTTGTTTTCATATGTGAATTGGATATCGATAGTTGTTCATGTCTTAAATGAATAATTCTCAAATTCACGGGGTTTACAACTGTAATATCTTTGTTCTCATTATCATAGGTTAGTTGCAGTGCTTACTGTTAGATTCAGAACAACATCTTTAAAGTCTTAATGCATCTTGTGCTAAATCTTTTGATGTTTCATGATTCATGGGATGCCGGAACCTAGTGGTAATGATTGCTATTGCATCTCTGGATCAGTAATGTTTTTAGATACATAATCTAATTTGGACAATCTTTTTGGTTCATGCTAATTATGTCCTTTTTATCTCTTATAATATTTGGTCGAGATGCCAGATAGGAAGTTGAAGGCGGCTAAGGCAGCTTTCGACACGAGCATCGACGGCGGCATAACTTTCTTTGATACAGCTGAAGTCTATGGTGCGGGGGTAGGAAGGAATTCCTTGATGCTGCTTCTTTCTCATGCTAGAAATCTTAATTTCTTGAACAAATCTAATTTCACTGATGCATAAGGTATGACATATTTGCAGGTTATGGGAGCAGTGAACTCTGAAACTTTACTTGGAAGGTAACTGATAAACATCTGAAGCAAAGTAAATTCAGAGTCTTTTTATCTTGTTGTTCACCTTGTTTGTCTTGGATATTCTCAGATTTAGGCTGAACAAGATTGTCTATAAGATTTTGTTTACTTCGATTTATGATGGTGTTGAACGCCATTGTGATCTGACTTGAAATGTCGAACCAGATTCATCAAGGAAAGGCAGCAGAAAGAAGCTGTTGAGGTCGCTGTGGCGACAAAGTTTGCAGCTTTACCATGGAGGTTAGGCCGGGGGAGCGTGCTCTCTGCTCTAAAGGATTCACTCTCCCGTCTCGGTGTTTCTTCGGTGGAACTCTACCAACTCCATTGGTCTGCTTATCATCAGCCTGTTCCTGATGCTATTTTCTGATACTTGTGAGGTTACACGATCGCTAACATGCTCATCGTCGGTCATTTTCAGGCCTGGAATCTGGGGGAACAAAGGTAGTTGATCTCATTCTCGTGTAACTCCAACCCATTTCATGATTAAATCGGTATTTTGGAACTTGATTTAGGATACATTGATGGCCTCGGAGATGCTGTCGAGCAGGGCCTCGTAAAGGCCGTCGGGGTCTCCAACTACAGCGGTCTGTTCTCCGACCTCACTAATACAATGTGCTTTTCCTCGAGGAATTTTACTGGTTCTTTGACTGGCATATTCATTAGTCTTGTTTCATTCATTGCACCAGAAAGGCGTCTTAGGGATGCTTACAATCAACTCAAGAAGCGGGGAATTCCACTAGCTTCAAACCAAGTAAACTACAGCCTTATATACAGGATTCCAGAGGAGAACGGCGTCAAGGCCACTTGTGATGAACTGGGGATTACTTTGATTGCGTATTCTCCTATCGCTCAAGGCATGATTCAGTCAAGTATTTGATATCTTTCTGCTGTGAACAGAGCATGGAATTCTTCAAATATTTGTTAATATTAATGCACATGTCGATAATTATGGATTATATATGTGATGCTAAATTCGATCGATATATGCTCTTCTTCTTCTTCTTTCTTTTCCTCCTCTAACAAAGTTGTCATCCTCTGATAGATCATAACAATCACAAATCAGGCTCTTGTGCCATAGGTGGTGAACTTGAGGAGACTTCCTTTTCGGTCATTTCCTGTTCTATTATATCTCGATGAGGAAGCAGAAAACATATTTCCCTAGTTTGTGTTATGACAGTTTTCGAACTGATATTAATCGTTCAAAGAATGGCATTCATCTGAGGAATTATTGTAGAATTACTTTTATGCGATAGCTCTCATGTCCAACTTTGGGTCCTTTTCAGGTGCTCTGACAGGAAAGTACACGCCAGAGAATCCTCCAACTGGCCATCGAGGCCGAATCTATACTCCAGAGTTCCTCAAAAAGGCATGAACTTTTGCAGTTACATTTCTATCATTGTTGAAATCATGTATGAACTTTTGAAGTTGTTTACAGCTGCAACCTCTGGTGACAAGAATTGAGGAGGTTGGACAAAATTATAGGAAAACTCCCACACAGGTCCCTTCATGTTTCTCTTAAAGCTGCTGCAACTTTTTTTGATGTACTGAAGTTACATCCAGATATTGTCATTTTTTGATATAAATTAAGTCCTGTTTTTATCAAGAACGATTAATATTCGGAAGAAAGTTTAGTTAGTACAAACATTGCAGTAGATAATGTGGTTCTGCAAATGCTCAACTTCTCTGCATTTAAGAAAATAAAAACATCATTCAGCTTTAAGGTTGCACATTATGGATCATAATAGAAAAAGAAAACACTTGCTAATTTGTTGCTAAAAGAAGCAGTTGGTGAACTTATGGATCTTTCCTACAGGTGGTTCTGAACTGGTTGATAGCTCAGGACAATGTTGTGCCCATCCCAGGTGCCAAAAATGCTGAACAGGCAACACAGTTTGCAGGTGCTCTAGGGTGGAGACTCACAGAACAAGAAATCGAGGAGCTTCGTGCGCTGGCATCGGAAATAAATCCTGTGATTGGATTTCCAGTTGAAAAGTTATGACTACTTCAAGCAAGGAGAATGTGTCCAGGCAACCAATTCATAGCGCCTTTGCGTACTTATATTTCTCTTGTTCTATTTGATATACAGCAGTATTTTTGGACTAGTAAGAATTGTAGAACATCATCTATAAAAGGCCAGAGATCGTGGCTCATCGTTAGAGAGATACAATACAACCTGATCTAATACCATTCTCTTAGAGCAAACATGCTCTAAAAATTAGACATATTAGTTTTTCAGTACATTTTGTAGATTGGAAAATTCAGACATTTATGTTAAACTTTGGGTTTTCATTGGTTCCATCAATGTCATAACCTGTAATATTATGTCCAAATGACCTGTATGGCATCTTCCATCAGCTTTATTCTGCTATATGTGGTTGGAATATTTAGTGTTTGGTGGATAATTGCAAACAAAGAAAATACAAAGTCATTTATCTATAACCACAATCAATTCTCAAATCTCTGATGGCATGGTTCATCTGACTAGAATTGTGATTCTGGTTATGGCCATTATTTCAATATGCATCAAGATGAAGTGTCTGAACAGCTGCACTTCAAATTTGTTACTGCAACTTCAGTTTCTGACACAGCCTGTGGTCTGCATCCAAATTAACATTTTTGCTGAAGCATATATTCCTCAAATCACTTTGGATAAGAGGCAACAACAAGAATATGTAAATGTTGACACATCTTATTTTTATTTGGCTCCATATTTCAAGTCAACAGAGGGTGAGTTCAATCAGATGGCTATATTAGATTAGGTAAAATTTTAAGTTGGTAACTTGTTCTTCTTCATGGAGCAACCCAAGCATCATCAATGTCTCTAAGATGCTTGTGATGGGCAGCTTATTCTTCCTTAATCTTAGAAAGTTGGTTCAGTTTAACATAATTTTAATCGACACAATGTGCCCTCAGCAGGACTAATTAAAACCCAGATAGATGCATGCATGTCACTTCCTCATAGAAGTCCCCAAACCCTGATTCATCCTCCTTGATCATCTTGGTTTGTGTTCTTGTTTTTGTTCCTCTTTTGTCCTGTGAATCATAAGCTCTTCAGCTGCGACCCCCTGTTTGAATGCAGGAACAATACAGCTGGTGAAAATTCTAAGACAAAGGAGGACAACATTTCAAGTATAACACCTGAGCCAAGATGTGAAATGGGTGGGAAATGTGCACAGTGTTGTCCTGACATGTGGAACCTTACAGCTCTGTTTTGTTGTTAGATTTAGGTCAAATTTATTGGTACTTGAAACCTGGCATGGAGCAGGAACTGGTCCAATTATTTAAGAGAACAACAGCCACATGTCCCTCTCTGCCTTCTGCACCATAACTTTGCCACCTCAATAAAGGAGATAAGGGAGAGAGAGAAAAAGGAGAGAGAGAGAGAGAGAGAGAGGGGCAGTGAATCTTTTTCCTGGTCCAATATAGTTTGATGGAGATGAAATGAATGAAAGGCATTAAATGAAACACTTGCATTCTAGCAATTCTGAACTTGGCCACAGGGAACAGGTATCTCAAGATAAAATTGAGGACAATAAGTTGGTGATGATGGCACAGTATCTGACACTCATCTTTCTTGGCAAGCTCCATAAATGGAGAGGATTTGGAGGAGGAGGATGAGAATTGAATCTACCTTTGATGGAGCAACACTGACATGGTGGATGCTGAAACATATTTTGCAGTGAGGTCTGTTAATTTTCTTCTAGCAATATTCATGTGAAGAATTCTTATGGCAATTGCTTCTCTAACTTGTTCAGAATTTGGTATAAGCATGTTTAGGGCAGAGGACAAATTGTGCAAATCATATCCTTTCAGAAGGATTACAAATTTGTGGCTCACAAAGGCTTACCTTAAATTCCCATCAAATGATAAAGCAGTCACAGTGCAACTTGTGTAAGTTGATGTAGAACACCACAAGTGGAAAGGAAAAGATATTGTGCTTGAGAGAAGAAGAAGAAGAAGAAGTAGTAGAATTCCTTGAGAGAGAAATAATATGAAGAGGAGATGAAACTGTAGCCTTTGTATCTGTCAGTTTACTGATTCCAATCCAACAAAAGCCAGGTTGACAACTTTGGTCTTGTTTCTACTTTTCAAGCTCACTCTCCAATTGACAGTCCCATCTTCTTTTCCTTTATGTTATCCATGTAGAAGGATGTGCTTCCTGAGCTTTTCCCCCTGTTTCCTCATGTGCAAAAGTTGCCAGTTTTGGTGATGTTTTACACTGACACTTGATAATTATGAGCAGTAACTATCATTGGATCAAAAGATTGATTGATAGGTTGAAATCTACAAAGCAAGGATGTGCATCCACCCAACTTTGTTTGGGTTTCTTGATATGATGGACTGCACCCTTTTTCCTATCTGAATATTCCCTTTCATTCCAGAACTCTACTCAGTTTCAGAAAAAAGGTTGAGTCAGATACTTGGTTGGGTTTATGGGCAATCAGTGCCTTCTTGTGTCTGGTCTCACAGATTTGCCATGCTTAGTTCAGTTGGGATGTATTTTTGGCTTCAATAGAAAGATCAAGCAGTCAATTACTGTAATTATGGAGGAGGTCTCTATATCAAAGAGTAAAGATAAACCTAGAAAAATCAAAATTTTATTATGTAAAATCAAATTATAAGTTTCTTAAGTTAACTGCAGTTCAAGTATAAATTTCTTTATACATCCTCTCACATACATTGGAAGAAAAAAAGCAAATTTTTCAGTCTTTCTGTTGACTTGAGAAAAAAATCAGGAACAAAGTATCCTTTTACATCCTCATTGTGTATTAAATTAAAGTTCCTTGAACCTCTTCTAGATTATTATTATTATTATTATTATTATGAGATCTTCTATCTTGAGATGGTGTACCTATAAAAAAAAAAGAAAGAACAGAGAATATTCCCATAACTTCAAGACCAAGAACAAAAAAGATAATTAAAAATCAGATTTTTATTATTTGGCAAAAGCATGAAAAGCAACAGTATGTCCTAAACCATTTGATGGCAGATTAATCTTTGTCAATCTTGATCTCCATTTATTTTTCTGAGTTGTGAAAAATCTAGCCAAGCAATGTGAGTGCAGTACTTGCTGAATGCAGCTTTTGCAACCCTCCTTAAATGCAGTGACAAAAGATGGTAGACCCAACAGTGCCATCCAAACAGCATAAGCAAGGAACTTGGACTTTGACTCGGTCAGAAATCTTGGCGCTAAACCTGGAGCAGCTGATCCAAGCTCGAACTTGCTCTCATGTTTTGGAGTGATCAATCCTGAATTCAGACACCAGAAGGAACTTGGATTGGCATGCGGGGTGTCGAAGCCCCAAGGCAGGAAGGTGATACAGAAACAAGCAGCAAGACAGACAGGTATAGCCAAAGATTTCATAGCAAGAAAATACTCTTAATAAGTAGAAAGCAGGTAGCATCATAAATGTCATGTTGTGATGCGATAACGATGTCATGTGGCCTCCTCTTTGTCAATTTCCGAATCTGGCCGTGGTTAAAGGAGCAGAGGGTCAAATGTGTAACAATCCTCTCTCTCTCTCTCTCTCTCTCTCCCCCTCTCTATCTCTCTGTCACAGGTCTCTTTGAAGGCCTCTTCTTAACAAGAAGAGTTGGGAACAAGAGACACAGAGAGAGAAAGAAAGAGGGAATTCTGTTCCATTTGACAGTGGCTTACTGTTTGCATGAAAGCTTGTTGGAGAATTGAGAGGAGCTCTTTCTGAAGCTGGTTTGTTCTTTCTCCTCCCTTCTCTTTCAACTTTCCTCCATGGTTATCGTGAATTTTTTTCCTATATTTTCCAGAGCTTTTTCTCTCTCCTTTTTCCCAACAAAGATTTGATCTTCTTTTTTTTTCTAATATGTGTATGCATATTTTAATGAGTTGAGCTGTTTCATGAGAATTTAATATTTCTTTTAACACCCAAATTCTGAAACACTGCTTGAACTTTTCCTCTTTTTTTGGGGAGAGTCCTTTTCATGATCAAATGCTACAATTCAACTCTCACATGCTCTAATGCTCAGTTTTCTTGGTATTTCTCCATCATGGTATTGGGTTTCACAGCTTGAGTTGGAGTTGGTTTCATCTTTTGCAATTCCTTCTTTTTCTTCCATGATTTACTTTGAACAATCTAATATTTCTTTTGGGAAGAATTTTTCTCTTCTTTCAGTCTAATTCACCTTCTTTAGGATCCTTCTGATTCCTCTCTCTTTCTCTCTCTCTCTCTCTCTCTCTTGTGTCCTATTTGTTGTTGTTTGCTGTGGCTAACCAGGAGATCTGAGCTTTTTTTTCTTCTTTGGCAATTCGAGCTCTGTTCTCGTTCGAGCCTTCCTGTAAGAATTTGCATTACCTTTGCTACTATTCTCTTCATCTTCTTCTTCCTCCTCCAAACCCCTACACTTGTCAGGAAACAAGAAAAGAAATCTTCCAAGTTGTACTTGTGTTATGTAGTTCTTCTCACATGTTCTGATTTGGTTTTGTTTCTCTTCTGTGGAGAAGCTATTCATCAAGCAATGAACCACTATGTTCCTGACTGGGCCATGGATGACGACTCTGGCTGCTTGACAGATCTCCTTCCCATGACAAATCAGAAGAAACCAATGGGGTCAGAACCACCTGCCTGCTTCATCTCACTTTCCATCTGTTTCTGTACTGCATGCAGCTTCAATCCATATGTATCATCCCCTCCTCTTCCGACCTTACAGACCCGATAACGAGCTCATAGAGCTGCTATGGAGGAATGGACATGTCGTCATGCACAGCCAGAGTCACCGGAGACCTCCCGCCAACGTCGATGAGCTTAAACAAGCTCAGAAACCCGATCAAGTGCAGAAGCACGAGCAGCAGCCGCTTGGGGGTTCCGGCAACCTGATGCAAGATGCTGACACTGGCTCGTGGTTCCAGTACCCTCTCGATGACTCCTTCGAAAAGGAGTTCTGTTCCGAGTTCTTCCCTGAGATCACAGGCGGCGCAGATGCAGCTGCTGATTCCGATAAGATCAGCAAAGACTTGGTTGCAGAAGAAGACAGGTTGGTAAGATTCGGTTCGAGCAATGCCTTGGCGGCGTCTGCTCCCAAGGACAACAACACCATGCCCCCTCCCAAATCACATCTTATGGGCACCACCACACCGCAGTCGTCCTGCTTAGAGAACGCTGGCGCTCTCAACTTCTCCCACTTCTCCAAGCAAGCGAAGGCCGATTTGGGATCCTCGAGATGCCCACAGGGGCACAAGGGAGGTGGGAGCAGCAGCACCAAGGCAGGCGCCCAGGAGTCCTCGATGATGACGGTTGGATCGAGTACCTGCGGAAGCAATCAAATCCATGCCCACACCGATCCGAGCAATAATTTGAGCCATGATGCAGCTGACATTGTTACAGGGCTTGAGGAGGACACCAGGATGAGGGTTCTCTCGGAGGGGATGCAGTCCAAGGCAAATGAATGCACCTTAACCTCGACGTCAGGTGGCTCTGGTTCCAGTTACGGAAGAACAGGACAGCAGAATGCGAGTGATCGGAGCCACAAGCGGAAGGCAAGAGACGACGTAGATGATTCCGGGTGTCAGAGCGAGGTAATGATTCCAGTTCTCTGTTCTTCTATGTTCCATGTTCTTGAAGATGCTGAAACTTGCAGGAAGTTGAGTACGAATCCATCGAGGAGAAGAAACCAGCTCAGCGACCGATATCCAAACGCAGAAGTCGTGCTGCCGAAGTCCACAACCTCTCGGAGAGGGTAAGATGAGCTACCAGCTCTTCGATCACGGCCATTGATGTCTCTGTCCTTACAAAGCTCTTATCTTGTGTAGAGAAGAAGAGACAGAATAAATGAGAAAATGAAGGCTCTTCAGGATCTCATACCTCACTGCAACAAGGTATATATATGTGTGTATGTATATGTGTATATATATATATATGTATATGTATATGTATATGTATATATACATGTATATGCATATGTATATATGTATATATGTGTGTATATATATATGTATATATGTATATGCATATATATGTATAGAGATGAAGAGATAGATAATGGACACTTAAAGCAAGATTCTATAACTTCATTTGAGTGTGCTACATTCATGATTTCAGACGGATAAAGCATCAATGCTAGATGAAGCAATCGAGTACCTGAAATCACTGCAGCTGCAAGTTCAGGTACGAAAACTTGATGCCTCTGCACGCTTTAATCCATACACAAACAGCAGAATCGGCGATGCTCATATCGATAACCATGTATCAGATGATGTGGATGGGAAGCGGCATGGCGTCGATGATGTTTCCCGGTGTCCAACAGTATATTTCAAGCATGGGAATGGGGATGGGGATGGGGATGGGTCACGCTTCCGTGCCAGCCATTCACGGTGCAGTTCAATTGCCGAGAGTTCCATTTGTGAACCAATCTGTAGCCACAGCTTCTGGCACAAACCAGACATCATTCTTCCCCTCCCCGGCCATGAACGCTGTAAATTTCCCCAACCAGATGCAGAACATTCATCTTCCTGAATCATATGCCCGGTACCTTGGCATGCCTATCATGCCATCTCATCAGGTTTGCAGAGTCGATCGCATTCGTTTCTTCGGTGTTTTGGCCATTTTTCTTTTTGCTGATGGGTTCGACATTATGATCGCGTTCCAGGCAACGAATTTTTGTACATATGGATCTCAACCGGTGCAGCAGAATCAGTCGGCAGGAGCACCTGGCGGCAGTCTCCGACCCGGTGCCGGAGGACCTAATTGTGCCAGTACTGAGAACAACAGATCCGGTAATTTGGATGTGATCAGCAACAAAATCTTCCTCTTCTCAGAACAATTCTGGTTTACCGAAAGTAAGCTTTTATATGTGCAGGTTGATGATGACACTTCCAAGTCTGGAGTCTGCTCTAATCTTTAACTCAGACAACTTCCGTCATGGACTTCCTCCTTGTTACTTAGTACTGATGGCCTGTTGAAGCCAGAATTTGCAGTGTATAATACAAAGGAATGAGAAAATTTTTCTGGTCTTCAGATGATCCAGAAATTTGAGCTCATACAAGTTACTTGTTTATCTTATTGTGTAAAAGATCAATAGAACACTACCTATTTTTTTGTTTACCATCAAATAACCATCCATCATCTGATTAGGTGATCTCTGAAAACAGTGATGCAGACATTTCCATTGTACTATGTATTTCTATCAACATATTACCTCTTCTCCACTCCCAGCTGCACTCCACAATAGCTTTCTTTCATTTAGTATCCTTTGGATGGATATCTTCAAATATATTTCAAAGATTCTTGACACTAAAGTTGGTCAACAATTCGAGAATCCAGGGATTAACAGGAGATCATCTCATTTGTTACCTATACTTGGAACAAGACTGGTTCTTGAGTGCAAAGATTGAATCGGGACTGTCACCGGTAGTATAAAGATGTCCATGAGATCATGGCACATATTTGTATGGCATCTTGGCGCAGTGAGTTGTTGTATCTTATCCTTCCCTTTTAGTGCCACCGAGGGGAAGCATATCAGTTGCATGAAACCATTTCCTAGCGAGACGAAACGCTCACACACGCTGCAGATAGGATTTTGATGTTCTTAGCGAGGGGTTGGGCGGTGTCTGCGGTTGAGTGACCGAGTAGATGAAGAATCTGCGCTCTTCGGCCATTTCTGCTCGACCCCTTCGACATGGAGTCATCTGTGAGTTCATGCATTATTACCGGTGGTATGCCCACAAAACATCATCTTCTTTTTCCGTGGAGAGACAGGCTGCATCCGATGAAGCTAGTCACCTCTCGTCGACAGCATTCGTGGACTGTATTATGTTGGTCGTGATGCGACAATGGTGGGTGCGAGGGTGTTCGGGTGTGATGTCTGACCCAAGTGAGCCCGAGGCTCACACAGCAAGTGTCTCGGTGGATGGAAGGAGACTGCGGTGAGGAATGTTTGGGAGGTCCCTCCGAGAATCCCACCATGGAAAACCCAGCAAAATTATTGAAGCACAACTGGGGCAGTAGACAGCTCTTCTCCACTTCTTTTCTTCTCTTTCATTTGATGTTGCAAGCTTGAGATCGACCGATGATGCCCGTGGTAGGCCCTGGTTAAAACATGGCCACACCTCATAGTCTCAGCTCATATCCCTTCGAGCTTCTCCTCTATCCACAGTTTGGGTCCAATTTCTCCTCTCTTCTTCCTTTTCACTCCTCGTGTGTAGTGGCAGTGACACGAAGCACAAGTTTGGTGTCATCTTTGAGTCTCTGCATGAACACTTTGCATCGACTGATGCGACTAATCTGCGTCGTCTTAACGACTGATTTGTTCTTAGTTAATCCTATTCTTCGGCTTGGTTGTCGATTATATAAACGGAAGCTGACTTTTAGTAGATGCATGATTAGCTCAGCTGATGATGGATTATGAAGGAACTCGATTGGGATTACGGTCGGTTTCGGTCAACATCCCTGAAGATTGGAATTGAATCCAATCCTGCGACATTTGCAGGAGTTGGATGACGACGATCTCCTCAGTGCGTTCATCTTTATTCCCTTGTGCGCCGACATCAAGGGACCACGCAGGGATTGCAGCATTATCTTGTCTTGGGTGATTAGCCAATAATCACAGTGATAACTTGATGACATGATCATGACAGGAAACAAAACCGTGTAATGTGATGTGATCCACACTAAAATTAATTGTGTTCTCTCGAGACATGCGCTGCATGGCAGCAGGCTGTTTGGTAGGTACTTGGAAGCCAGCTACAAAATCCTGGGTTCATCATCTGCAACGGGAACTCAGACTCTGGCAGAGCTTGAGGTGCCTTGGGACCTTCCTTTCTCTTGCAGGGACAAGGTGGAGATCTGCCCCACTGCGTTGAACTCGGGATCTGAGTTCAACAGGTTCTCGTGCACGGCATCACAGAGCTGATCATGTGTTCCATGACCAAGTAGCTGCAACAATCAATGCATCTGTTAACACTCGTTATTAGAAACTGATGAGTAGTCATTTTCTTGGATTGGTCTTGGGGGATCGTAATAAAGCTTGGCGATACAGAAACCCATTCGTTACATTCCACCACCAAATTGTGTCCATGCAAAAGAGCGCAGATTGTTCTTCCTTGTTGTGAGAGAGGATGACCATAGAAAAGATGAATGCACGCATGTCAACTCATGTTCATCTGATATCAACATGAGCATGTTTCTCGTGAGTCATGTCGACGTCGAGTTGCACCGCAACGGCACCAAAGTCAGGCCGACATCGCATCCATTTGCAGAGATGCTTAGCATGGCAGATAGCGAAGCCGACATACAATTCAAGCAAATTGCTCTCACACCCCCCTTCCCTCTTTTAAGTGCAGCAAATGATGTAAAAACATCTAAACATCAAATGATATAAACGCTCTAAGCCAAGAAGGTTCCATGAAATGCTTCAGCAGCATTAATCTATAATCTCGAGAAGCAACAGCAAAAATAATAGGATAAAATGAAAGAGAAGGTAAAGTGTAGAGATCATCGATCACTCAAGTCGAGACAAGAACGTCCCTAAGAGAAGTGCAGCAGAAGGAAGGTCGAGTTAAACCTGTGAGGAGCTGCTTTCTCTAGAGCGGCTTTCGACGGCAGCATCTCTGATGAGCTGTGCTTGTCCAAATGCATCTTCTTGACCTCTAATAGCTTGGGCCATAGCCTCGGCGGTATCCCCACTTGGAAAAGGAAAAGGAGATGGGGACGCTGTGACGGAGGGAACTTCGAGGAAGAGGACGAGAAAGGAGAAGGCGAGAGGAGGGAGGAACAGTGGAGAATGATACACACGATATATGGAGGAAGGTGAGGCGAAGCGCACATCCAGGGACGCAGGTGGTCCTAACAAGTGCACGCCCATGCAGGAAGAACGCTGAGAGATTTGACCGAGAAGATTGGAAGATTTGGGAACCTTCAGAGAAGACAGGTTGGCGGTGAGAGATAGAGAGAGAGAGAGAGACAGAGAGATGATGTATAGTGAACGTGTTTAGGGTTAGCCGGGGGAGGTGGAAATGATTGGAGCAAAAAGATGATATATAGTGAACCTGTTCATGTAGATGATGTGGAAGACAGCAGCTGTTTGCAAGTATACTAATCTTGTATCGAATAACCCCAATAAAAATCCATTGGAACATATTGTTTAGTGTACTTCGACAACCTAACTTCCTGACGTCATGAGATTCATATAGAGGTATAATATTATGATGATCACTTAAATTTTTGGATATATATATATATATATATATATATATATATATATATATATATATATATAAATATAATTGTCTTTCTATAACACAGCTCATAAATAATTAATTTTCTTCAAAAACTAAATATTCATACATTCATTCACCACAGAGAGAAAATTCAATAGAAAAAATAAGATGGAGAAAGACTACAACGGGTGAAGTTGTGTGGCATGCAACAGTTTTCTTTATTATTTCTAGAGAAGAACACTCGATTCATTTATTAAGCAGAAATTACATCATACGATTGGACAAAGTCTAGAGAGAAAACTTCACCCGATTGGTGTGAGATCTCATGAGATCTATCAAAATTGGCAAGCTTGTCAAGCCTCTATCATCACTTGTGGGACTGTAACCTCGGTGACTTGTACAGCTTCAGCACAGAAGAAACAATTTTTATAAAAAGTAAATAAACAAAGGAGTCAAATTGCCTCAGAAATCAACATAATGGATAAGGAAATATGTAAGTACCACCACCATGATGTACATGCTCAATATCTGGTTTCTCCGAGGTTGTAAGCAGAGCATAAAGCATTGATACATCATGAGCTTTAGTCAAGAGTCTGTTCTGATATCAGGAATTACAACTCAAAGCTCTTTTATGTTGCAACTCAAGCAGGTCTATAAGCATTGCCTTTTAGCAGGAAAGCAATAGGTATTAGGTCATCTCCATAAGATCTTTTGGTATAAACCGATCCCATTCAGAGAAATGCAACATGAATATCCAGCCATCGGACTCGTATAATCCTCATAGCTCTATTTCCTTATTCATCAATATACAAAAACTGAGAAATAGTCCAGTTGTCCAGAGTTTTCAACAGTGTCTTATATGATAATATGCATTTTATTACATCTCTTTAGGTTCAAAAGTAAAGGTAACTAAATCACTATCAGCTGGCACCAATACTGCAACATCTACTGTAATAGATAGATACCTCAATTCCATCAACAACATCGGACAGCCCTTTTTCAAGCAAGCTTTACATTTGAATGATTTTTAGTAGCCATGTCAAATGCGACGCAGAGATGCCAACCTCTTCTCTAGGTCATCAACTTCAGGATTCTTTGGAGCTACAGTCCTGCAACACTAAAAACAATTAATGCGAGACCATCGTAGTACATGGAATCAGAATTTTATCTCTAAGCATCAACCAAAAAGCAAGAAGATAACTAATGGAGGTACTCATGGCTTGACCAGTACAGAACCTGAATTGTGCATGTAACTGAGTGTCTGTTAGCAAACATTTCATACCTAGAGGCAGTATCAACTTTCTTACTGCTGACTGCAATCCGGCCTTTGGGAGCTGAAGATAGCTGAAAAAGAAAATTATCAAAAACAAAAAAAGATGTTTAATTGTCATTAAGATTTTAAATTACAATGAGGGAAGAAAACATAGTTTGAATATCTAATATTGCACACCAAATAGATATGCAAAAGGAATACCTGTGAGGCAACATCGACACCAATTTCATCAAGCACCTAAAACAAATCATAAAAGAAGTAAGACTAAAACCAACTTACAGTATGAATCACATTAAGGGAATTCTGTAGCCAAGATGTACTTTTGCTTGCTTCAAGAAAGGTTTATATAAAAGTATAATTGAGATGTTAAAACGACACAAAAGTTCATCTTACCTGGTTTGTGAGCTCTTCTGTTTCCTCTTCTGCCTCATCTTTATCCAATGTTTCATCAATGGCCTCTGACATCATCTCAAGCTGCATATATAGAAGTACAAATACAGATTGTTCACAAAATCAAACACACACGAGACGGGGGCTGAGAGAGAGATTTCTAAAGATATCTAGGCTAAAAATGCATTAAAGGAAGAAGTTTGCAAACAATTGGTTTCCATTTAATAGCATAGAATAATGCATTTCAATTTATTAATTCTACAAAGTGGAAATCATCAACATCAATCAATCTTTAATTGCACCATATCCTGAAGAAAGAGGTCTGTTACAGAAGCAACTCTGAGTGTGCTAACATCCTTGTAAGAAAAATCCAAGCTTGTTCATTTGACAAATATGCTGTGGTAGCAGCTATTAGCCATTGTTCGTCAATCATAATTACGGTATAAGTTTGAGCAGATACACCATTTCCAACAGTTTAATGTGCTGAAAATTTTTCATCTAGTATTACATAGGACAAAAAAGACGGGAAATACAACTACCAAATTTTTGCCAAGAACAAATCATGAAAGTGAGGGTGAGCCTTAGCACCATATTAAGCTTGTGCCTCTATGACTTACACGTGTATATATATATATGTGTGTGTGTGTGTGTGTGTGTGTGTATAAGTATATACACACATATATATATATGCATATACATATATACATGCATATACATATGTATACAAATATATATAAATACATATATATATATACAAATATACATGTATACATATATATATATATATATAAATACATATATATATATATACAAATATACATGTATACATATTGAGAGAGAGAGAGAGAGAGAGAGAGAGAGAAAGTGACAAGTTGGGCCGAAATGCTTAATTTTAAAAAAGTTACTCTCACAAAAATGATTTGTTCAAAAGTGTTAAGCAATTTCATATAAACACCAAAGTTTGTTTTTGAATGTAACAATTAAAATTTTGTAGGAGTTAAAAAGTTTTGCATCATTCTTACCGTCATGTCCATTTGTGATGATTGCTTCTGGAATTCTTTCATCACTTTTGCCTGCTTCGCTGGTTCCATTTGCTGAAACGTGTAATTACATATCAACATGCAAGCATGCTAATGATTGAACATCTAGCTAGATTATCCATTACTGAAACAAGCAGTCACCACATAATACAAAATTAAACTTCCAAACCTTGTTCATAGCAGCCATTGCTTTGCTTGCACCTTTCATTCCTGTGGATAATGATGTATTTGCATACATAGCCTGAAAGAAAGCCAAACATCAGTTTCTTCACAAGTTGAGGTATGATTTGAAGACAATGGTATTCCATAACTACATCTAGTAACTCAGAATGCCTGACCTGAGTATGGGTTGCTATGCCTCTTATTTGTGCACGAGTTCCCTGCAAGTTTGTAATTTGCTGCCTTAGACGAACGAGTTGGCGAGCTAAGATCCGGGTGGCAGCCTGCAAGAGTAAATGTACCAAATAACAATGTGCTATAGCCCTCCTGTCCAGAATGGTATACGTTTGCGATGAACATTCCAATAAAATACAGATATACTGCTTGAAAAAATAAAGCGGCCATAAGAACACAATGAGGAAATCATGACATGAAAAATAAATACAGAGAAAAGCTTGCCTCGTTCCCAGTTTGTGCAGTCTTCTTGATCTCTGCAACCAGTTTTTTCTCCTGATGACTGGCTTGTAAGTAACAGTAGACAGACAAAATGATGCACAAAAGATTATTTAAGTGCAGTGCATAGAGGAACAGCAAACCTCTAACTGCAGCGAAGCGATCTCGCGTTCCACACCTGAAGCCAAGATGGTAGGATCATAAGCACTCAAATCATGACATAATTTATTCTTCCCAAACCAAGACGAGGAGAAAGAAACAGATCAAATTGCAAATTGACATTTTGCAGATAGACAAAGGAAAGCACCTCTGTCCGGAATAAAACCCTAAAGATCTGAAGACGAGAGACTTACCCCTTGTGGCGACTGCCATTTCCCTTTTGCTCGTCCTGAGAGCATCTGCGAGGTAAAAGAACAGCCATAAGATTCGGAGAGGAGCTCTCAAAGTATCCTATTAATGGAATCAATAAAGGGAAAAAAGGAAAGAGACAAAACCCTAACTGGTAAAACAACAATTTCGACGGAAAAATTCGCCACAAAAAAAGCACCATATCAAGAGAAACAAATTCCTTCCTTTCTTGAAGGCAAAGGAAAGATTCGTATACATCAAACCCACCATCCAACGAAAAATCAAGGTGAGCAGACCGAATCCATCGAATCGAGGCAAAATGCAGATCAAGAAATAATCTTTTTGTCTCACCCTTGGGAGAGGTCTTCTTCTTGAAGATGTTCATGGTGCGCTTCTCTACGCCCGAGCAACGAGATCGTGGGAAAGGAGAAGAGAAATCCGCGGACGAGAGAGGCGAGAACCCCTAGATCAGGATGTGTGGAGGCGGCTAGGGCTCAAGCAGTCCGGCGATGGAGCGGCTTCACTCTCCCTCTCGCTGCGCTCCCACTCGGACACCGCGGCCGAGTACGATTATGTTCGTGCCTGGGCAATCTTTGTTGATCCACCCATGTCATCGTGAACCCTTTCTCCCATAGGGGATTCGAACCTGGTCCCACTAGAATGGGCAGTAACATTACGGGTATTCAGGATTCTGGGGGATAAACTTACAATTCCTTTTTTGTGGAGCCCATCCAACGGTCAGTAACTTTGAAACTGATACGCTCTTAATCGACCGATGCGGCGCGCCTCCTCGCACGTGTTGGGTCCGCGTGCGGGGGCATCAAGCCCAAGCGTCGGGGATCGAACGGCCGTGATGCAACGGTACATCCAAGCGGATCGGCTCGAGCTGGAAAAATTGGATCTGACTCCGAAAAGATCCGATCCGATAAATCTGGATCCGGCTTCCTTAAGCGGGCCGGACTTATCCATGGGCCCCCGAGAAAGTATTCCAATCGTCCGACCGTAGAGCACGTCCCCTGCCACCATGTCATATCACGCTTTGAGCTGCGTGCGCAGACTCGATCGCCATCTTTAAGAATCGTGCCTGCCGTGTCAAGTTCTTGATCACCAGTAGGAATCTAAAGACAATAAATACAATGGGTATTTTAACTTATGATATCGTAATTATAAGCATGAATGAAAATTTCATCTTCTGAAGATGAACTGATAGATGAGTGTGTAATTGATCCAAACTTCTCTCTGTGTAGAGAGAGAGAGAGAGAGAGAGAGAGGTGCTGAAAAGGAAGTTTAGCATCCGAAGCATTCATTCCCTCATTGATGAATCCTATGCTTTAATTCAAACAATAAAGGAGGAGAGCACTGTGCACAACCTTTATTTTAAATGAACTGAGCTCAGCTTTGTACACAGCTTGAGGAAACTTAAACATCAGGCCGCCTTCTCTCTCTCTCTCTCTCTCTCTCTAATCCATGCTATCTATCATCTGCCCACCACCATCATTCACTCACAGGACATGGCCTCCGAGAACGTTGGCCCACTGCCATGAACAAAAGGTGAAGATCTCATTGCAGACACACCTCCTTTGTCCTGTTCTGCACTCGCTTGGTCCCCTACCTGCACACCATCCTCCATCATTGCCCATGCTTGTTCTCCACCATCACAAGCAAGGAACGGAGAGGAGCACACGACATGCTCAAAGGTTCAGCTCATGCAGGGAAGATCCGCCAGCTTTGGGGGGCTGCAGTTGCACGAACAGTGACAACCCAAGAACAAGGACCACAGTCTTTGTGGTCTTTGAAATGCGTTGCTATCTTCCTTCAAATCTTGCTGTCTGCTTTCTTCACTCTCATAAAGCGGTCAAGGTTGAAAGTAAATCCTTGTTTCTGCTGCTGCTTTGGCCTGCAGCAAGCAAGCAAGCAAGGTTTTTAGTCCAAGGAAGAATTCTACAGTGGATGTGGATCATCAAGAGAAGCAAGCTTTTCAGGCGATGGCTGACAATACCAAGACAAGTTAAAATGCCATGAAGAACAGACACCATCAGCCTAATCACACTCGGTCGGGACCATTCGAGTGAAGCATTTGATGCTCTGGTCCCTGATCTCTAACTTAAATCCAATCAAAACAGGTTGCTTCTTAACTTTCGATATGCGCCTTTCTAATCTTTTGGAATGTTTCGCTTCTTTTGCTTCGCATTGAAGTAGGAAGGAACGCATGCGAGGAGAACTTCTCTCATTGCTACTCTCAATTGCACAGCAAGTTAATGATGGTATTTTGGAATTCTAGATCACGAAGAACATGGTCAAGATAGTCCGATCTTAAACTCCTAATCACCTATTAATGGTCATGGATTGCTCTGTTAATCACACATCAAGGTGTCATGGAAAAGGCTGATTCCTGGGCTCATGAGATATCCAAGAGTGATCAGTCTTCAACTATGATCCAGAACTTGTTTCGCCTGCAGAATGACGACTGTTCCAATACTGCAAGCCTTCCACCTACAGTTCCATATCACTGTCAAGAAGAAAGATCAAAGCAGTTCTCCTGCCATTTCAAAGGATACAAAGATGTTGATTCCTTTTTCATCCTCACATATGATACATATCAGAACACATGCAGGGGGGGGTTCCTTAAAAGCCTCAGATCCAATGCAGCCATAGTCTGGCTTAAACTAAAAACTTCTACTGACCTGCCACAAACAAGCCTTAATATTGATCCAGTCTTTTTCTATTTGAGTTTGACTTCACTTGATTTTTAGGAGTATTCAGACAAATTCTGAACAGAGAACAAAGCAGCATCAAAATATACCGATTCCTATTCACTAGATGAGTACTTCGATTACAGAGACATTGATGACTGTTACTGTTTGGATTCAGATCTCTCTGCTACACCAAAGCATCCAAAGCAGCTCATCTTGACGGCACCCTAACAGAGTCGAGAAAGGAACCCCTCATTGCTACATGCTTCCAACTAATAATTGCTGAGTTGTGACACAGTACATTCGAGGTCGAACGGTGCTATCTTCCTTCCAGAGTGCCACCACAGATGGTAGAACTCTGACTCAAAAACTATTGTCACCAACCAGTCAATCCAACCGACAGAGCTACATCTCGATGCTTTGTGTTGGATCATACACATGTATATTAGCTGTGATTCATTTCTTGTCTATGTTCAACAATTGGATAACCTAATCATGCTCAGATCAGTGATCAACAGCTGCAGCCAAGTGTGACTCGTATTTATTTGTGTTTAGCTGGTTTTCACTGGTAGAATGCTTCATCAAGTAGGAGAAAGCTCCATCAGTTAGCTGATCCACCATTACCGGGAATGAAAGTAGACAAATCTGCTGCAAACAAGAACCACATATCTCACTCCATTTGGCATAAGGTGGGGGGAGCCTCTCTTTTCATGAGAAGGTGGACCAACTTTTCACCACACTGTTCTCAGAAGGCATTCCTTTTACACTCTTAGTTTTCTGCAATGGTGACAGTCACCAGAAGCACTGCAACATAACAAGAAAGTGGGGCAACCTTACACACCACCACCACCCCATGGCTCAAAGTCTACATGTTCCTAATTGCCAGCCACAAAACTTCAAACAAGATAGCAGTACCATTTCCCCCCTTACTACTACTCGCTAGGTGGAGACTTGACTCCATCCATCCATGTGAAATCTACCACAGCGCTCTGTCTCGTTCGCTAACCTTTAGCGCACTGTCCTTCTCTCCACACATAAATTACTCTCAGCATTGCAGATCATGACATTACACTGTGCTACTACTTACTACTATTTCTGTTTGTATCCGATGCATGTGTCAGTGATTTAGTTGGCTTTGGTACCGAGAGAATGCCTTGTTGTGCCCATGCATGTAGGAGTAGGATCAAGTAGACGGCTATCCCATTCTCAGCATCCACTGCTGCATATGCATCAATTCACAGGCTCGTGGGATCTTTCTCTCGGCATGCAGAGAGGAGAGGGAAGAAGGCAGGCATGCATGCATGAGGGACATGCACGGCTCCCATCGATCTCCACCTTTCCCTGTCATCGGCACGCGGGGCCCGGCCGGCACTCGGGGGAGGACGGCATCCTCGTGCCGCCAATCGCGGAGGCCGGACGGCGGGACCCACCAGGGAGGAGGAGGGAGGGAACCCAAAGCTCTGCTCTGCTTTACGCTTTGTTTCCACAGCACGAACTCCGAGCACTCCTCTGCGACTCCCCGACCCGAATGCAGATGAAAGGAGAGAGAGAGAGAGAGAGAGAGTTCCATCGATCAGTGTTTCGCAGGGCGCAGCTGCGTGTGAGGGCACGAGGTGGTGGTGGCTTCGGGTCGGGGAAGAGACCCCCGCCCCCTCGTCCATGTGATCACCTTGTAATCTAGTGACTGTCCTCCACCACAACACAACTCCACTGTCGCTTCTTTATCTGCATCCCAATGTCTCAGAAACTGCAGTGTGGCTCTTTTCTAGTACTTACGGTGGAGCCTTTCATGGCATGGATCTCTTGGTCTTTAATTCGCCGCTCCTTTGTCTGCAGCAGTAGATGAAGCTCGAGAAGAACTGTTGCTTGAATTTACTGTACCACCTTCTCCTTGGGAAGGCTAAAGAAAAACTCGATGTATTTGCAGCTACGTTCAATGAAAGAATGTCGATGAAGATTAACATAGAAAATTGGGAAGAGGTAGTTAAACAACAAAAGCATCTTGTCAATTCATCGTAGGATGGAAGGTGATGGAGACAACCATGGCTTTTGCCTTCCACCTGGTTGCAGCCAGCAGTGGCAGGACTGTCAGGCACTGCCTCGAGTGGAAGATGAACAGCTCAGTTGGTGCCTCCTCCACAGTGGACATAGATGAGTAGTCCAGCAGACAAGCAGAGGAAACTGCAATCATTCAACTGGTCAAAATTCAATCACATCAAATCTGTCATTGGGTGTTGCAGCTAACTTCTAGGGTTAGAATGTTCAGCCCAGATGAGAGATTCTTTGAAGTTTCACTTAACCAAAGCTTGAACTCACTTCCCATACAATCCCTCCACATTTGGAAACCAGAAAAAAAAAAAAAGGAAAAGAAAAAAAGAAGTTATAAAACATTCCTGATCAGCACATATGCACAAACAACATGAACCCATATCTCTTGTTCACCTAAACACCTATACTTTCTCCTTTGAAGTCGCAAACATCAAATTAACGTGACGGCGAGGTCGTAATCGTGGTGGTGGTGGTAATAATAGTGGAGGTTGTCGTGGAGGAAGTTCTCGGAGTCATGACTTGTTTTAGTACTACGATGGGGATCTGACTCTTCTTTCTCTTCTCTTCCTCTTTGATGAGCTCACCTGCGAACCACTCGAGCTTTTCGATATTGGTTTGCTCCGAGAATTTTTTTCCTCTAAACAACATCGATTCGATGTTCCTCTCCGATAATTTCTCCTCTAATGAACTAAGCGATTTGATGACATTATTTATTTTTGAAGCGTAATTGCTCGATTCGTACCCATTAACCTGAGATCATTATTCAAAAAATAATATAATCATTCATCAGACATATTATATATAAGTATATAATTGCTTTTAGAGAATTATTACCTGAATTCGCACATAATTATTAGTCCTGTGATGCCCAAATGCCATAGCAATCGCCTGATCCACCTGAGGGAAAACAAAAACAAAAAAATTCAATAATTATCACATGATTTTACTTGTAATTTTTATCGATCGAATTATGGCGTTTTGGTCGTCCAACAAATGGAAGAATTTGATTTGTTGAAGGAATATTGGGAAGTCGACATTTTCCTCAGATTTGCCGACAGAACAGCAAAAAGTAATTATCCATATAAAAAATTAAATGAGGGAAAAAGAGCTAAAAGACGAAATTAGGTAGCGGGAGAGTGAGAAGGGGCCCGCACCATGTCCGCGACGACCTCGCCGGCGATCCTCACGAGCTCCGACGGCGACGGCACCAGCCGCCGCCTTCCGGCTCCGCCCTCTGGCCCTACGCAGCCGACGGTGCTCCCCAGAGAGAGCACCATGAGGTCCTCCACCCCCGCGGCGAAGGGGAACTCCTGCTTGTTGTTGAGCACGTGCGTGATGGCCGCGGCCGCCGGGTTGCCCATCGCAACCCCGCCCCCGACGGCGGCGATGCGCGTCCGCCCGTCCGCGGACCTCATCTCCACCGGCGCCGCCCCCGCCGCCGGGTCCGCGCACGTGGCGGCGCACACCTCCCGGATCCGGAAGTCGAAACCGTCCGCCTCCACCGCGTCCGCCCGCGAGAACAGGAACGGCGCCCCCGTCGCCAGGTCGTAACACGGCACCAGCACCGGCTTCACGGTGTCCCGCAAAGTCGCGTCTCCGAACACCCGCCGGAGCGCCGCCCCGGGCCGCCAATGGAGCAGCCACCCGAGCGGGCCTCTCCTGACGGGAACGAACGACCGGCCACTCCGTTCGAGGAGGAACCGCAGCGCCTCATCGGCCGCCAAGAGGGGCCGACCGTCGGGGCCGCGGGTGAAGAGCAAGGCGGCGAGGACGCCCCCGGCCCCGGACCCGGCAGCTACGTCGAAGAAGTCGGCGACGCGAGCGGAGGGGTCGCCCGAGCGGCTGCGGAGGGAGGACTCGAGGCGCGCGAGGGAAGCGGCGGCGAGGAGGGCGTCGGAGGAGCGACCGCCGCCGTCGATGGAAAGAATGCGGACCTTGCCCCCGGGGGCGGCGGGCCGGGGCACGGGGGCATCGGCGGGAGAGGCGGAAGAGGAGGAGGAGGAGAGGAGGAGCTTGGGGTCGTCGATGCCGAAGAGGAACTTGCTCTCGAGGATGGAGAAGATCTCGTAGCTCAGCTTGTCGACGTCCACGCTCGGCTCCACCAGGGCCGGCGCAAACGCCATTGCCGCCAAGCTCGACCGGTCGAATCGAAGCTGAGTCAGGTGAACCGGAACGGACCGGTTTCTCTGCGTTAACGGGGGGAAGACGGCGAAGTCTTCGAGCTTTAAATAGAGGGTGGGGGAGGCCGCGCAGGTTAGGGAGGGGAGGTGGCGGGGAGGTGCGCACGGTAGCCCGTTCCCGTGCCGATGCTGCCAAGTGGGCTTTAGAAGGAAGCAGGAACGCGACGGCTGATGGACGGCTAGGATTCATCGACCTGAGGAGGGCCCCATTTGTCGGCAGGGGAGACACGGACGAAGGAATGGCACGTGCGATCACCGACGCGGCTCCTTTGATCTCTGTCCCTCACGAATTATAATTAATTTTATTTGAATTTAAAAATATAAAAAATAAATTACTTCTAATATTTCTAGTGATAATGGACCCAAAATTATTATAAATAATGAATATATTTTAATGAATCAAAAAGTGTGGCTCAAAAAATTGAGATCAGTGCTCTGCCTACACCAGCAACAAATCTTGATTCCAACTTGTTGCTTTTTCCCATCAATTAATGTTTATTTCCACAATGATGATAGTATATATGTTTATATATATAGCTTATTGTCCTCATTAGATATTGCATGATTGCATCCATATGAACCTTGATCTTCTTCTTCCTCCTCTTTGTAAAGAAAGATATCTATCTTCACCCTTACATCTTCTTGTGGCCCTCTCTCTCTCTCTCTCTCTCTCTCTCTCTCTCTC